CTGTCAACACGAAGACGCCTGCCAATTTCCCTCCTCCCAAGACCGATAAACCCCGCCCTCATGTGTGCGCGACTTGTCAGCGCTCTTTCGCCCGATTGGAGCATCTGAAACGTCACGAGCGTTCACACACAAAGGAGAAGCCCTTCGAGTGTCCCGAGTGCACAAGATGCTTTGCCCGTCGCGATCTGCTGCTGAGACACCAGCAGAAGCTTCACCAGACCACCACACCCTCGTCACGTCCTCGCAATCGTCGTGAGAGTGCCAGCAGCGCTGCACCTGGAGCTCGCGCACGTAAGAACAGTGTCGCTGGTCCCAATGCTGCCGCTGCCGCAAATGCCGCCGCTGCCTCGATGCGACCCAGGGCAAACACCATCAGCCATGTCGACGGCAACGCTATGCAGATGATTGCCGCGGCCAACGCACAGGTAGCGCGGGGCATGCCTCCTGGCACACACAGCCGTCACCCCAGCCTCGCGGGGTTGCCCGTGCATAACATGGACTTTGCCGGCATGTCGGCTGCGATGGGTCACAGAGGCATGTCTCATGGTTTGCCCAAGCTCGAGACGCACGGCATCAACAATATGGACTTTAGCGGCTTGCGGACCGCGCCTCCCATGGCCGTCTTCAATCCCGACTTTGACTTCGAGGGTCTGCTGTTCGGCCCGGGCTCCACCATCAACCCTAACGCGCTCCACTACAATGATTCGCCGCAATCCATGGCCATGGACCAAGCCTCGCCGTTTCCCCACGGCCTGGCCGGCGATATGTCGACGACGCAATTGGACGACAGCTTCGATTGGCTGACCGGCTTCGAGCACCAGATGTCTTTTCAGGGCGCCGATAACGCCGTAGACGGCTCGAGTCCCTCGGCTATCAGCACCACCAGCCAAAGTGGCATTAGCGATGTAATGGTGGACGGCTCCAATCATCACCCTGCTCCGGCAGGGACAAGTTCAATGTGGCAACCGGCCGTTATGGGTCCTCCCCAGGTCCCGAACCCGTTTGCCATGGATCTAAATGGTTCGGTCTTCCCAGATCTCTTAAACGGAGCACCCGTCTCACCACAACCTGCTGCGCAGAAAATGAACGATGCCTATTTCTCGACGCCGCCTCCCTCTCTTAGCTCCCTCAGTCCGTCGATGGTTTCCGGACTCAATACGCAAAACCTCAACCAAGCGCTCAACTTCAACGGAGGGCCAGAGACCCCCTCGTCCTTGAACGGCGGTAACCACGGTGTGTCGCCCGTCTCCACCATCACGGAAACGACCCGAGGTGCCATCGTTGGTGCTCTTTCGCAGTGCTCTCCCTTTGGTGGACGGAGATACTCATTTGCGACTCCAAGCTCGCCAATGTCGCCGGGCTTTCAGAACACAACCAACAGTGTTCCAGACCATGTAAAGAATTTACCTAGCACTCAAGACTTACAACGATATGTTGGCGCTTACCTTCGTTACTTCCACCCTCATCTGCCGTTCTTGCACATTCCCACTTTGACTTTTGAGATGCCACCCACCGCTGCCAACCGATCCAACACCGTTGGGGGGAGCGGGTGTCTCATTCTTTCCATGTCTGCCATTGGCGCCTTGTACGAAATGGACCACGTCCAGTCTCGAGAACTTTTCGAGATGGCCAAGAAAATGATTCAACTGTACCTTGAGGAAAGGCGGAAAGCCGACGTGAGAAAGGCCGACTTGCGGAGAGCCCCAGCATCTGAACCGACGTCTCACAACCAGGAATCATCTGTTCACACCCCGGTATGGTTGGTGCAAGCCATGCTCCTGAATGTCGTCTACGGCCACAACTGCGGAGACAAGACGGCCAGCGATATCGCATCCACCCACTGTGCTGCTCTTGTCAGCTTGGCCCAAGCTGCCGATTTGCTCCGCCCCATTCGCGTGGAATCCACAGAAGCTCATGATACCCACATGCATGACGATACGTGGAGCGGCCTTCGGTCAGACTCCGAGGAGCATGCGGAGTGGCTCCGATGGAAAGTCATGGAGGAACGCAAGCGTACCCTTTACGTCGTCTTCATCCTCTCAAGTCTTCTCGTTGCGGCATATAATCACACTCCGGCTTTGACCAACTCGGAAATTCTGCTCGACCTGCCTTGCGATGAGGATTTCTTCGCTGCCGATAGTGCTACGGCCTTCGCGGCCAAGGGTGGCGTCCGCGCCGCAAACCACAACCGGATGACTTTCCACGAAGCCTTGGGCGACCTACTCAGGTCTAATGAGAAGCAGCAGAAGCAACTTGCCCTCCAGAATGGTCAACAGGTATTCGGGCAAGGCGGCATGAACGACCTCAAGAGCGATCTCAAGCCGTCGACGTTTGGCTGTCTCATCTTGATCAATGCACTACACAACTACATCTGGGAGACACGCCAGCGCCATCACAACAAGGTATGGACTAACGAGGAAACCGAAAAGATGCATCGCCACATTGAGCCGGCCCTGAAGGCCTGGCAGGCAGCCTGGGCAAGCAACCCAAACCACAGCCTTGAGAGACCGAACCCGTTCGGGCTTGGACCGCTGTCTGCCGATGCCATTCCACTTCTCGACTTGGCCTACGTACGACTGTTTGTGAATCTCGCCCGCTCTAAGGAGAAGTTTTGGCAACGCGATTGGGATGCTATGGCTGACGAGCTCTCCCGGGGCAGCGAGATTGTCCAGCACGCCGAGCATTCGCCCGCCTCTAACCCGGAATCGACAGGCACAGATCATTCTGATAATTCGGTTTCAAGCTCCGTGTTCGTCGAGTCCCCGGCAACCCAGTCGTCATCATCTCCAGAGTTTTCTGCCGTCAAATTCCCGCAGGCCCAGGCTGCACCAAACCGGTCCACTTCTCGTAGAGAGAAGCATCTTCGCAAAGCCGCCTTTTACGCGGCAGACTCGCTCGCCATGTCCGACAAGCTGGGTGTCACATTTGCGGACTTCTCCAGCAGAGAGTTGCCTCTACAGTCGGCCATGTGCGCATTTGATTGCGCTCAGGTTTTGGCTGAATGGGTCGCAACTTTGCAAGATCGAGTAGGCCGATACCTGGGAATCCTCGGTCAGGACGATGTCGACCTATCGCAAGTTCCTGCGATTATGCTGCTGGAGGAAGAAGATGTCAAACTGCTCGGTAAGGTTCAGGAGGTGTTGGCTTCCGCAGAGATGAAGATGAACTTTGAACTTGTACAAGGAAATATTGCAGGTGTTGACACAAGGGTGCAAATGGACGATCACGCAGGCCACGCCGCCAAAATTCTCAGAGTCACGGCTTACATGCTCGATAAAGCCGCTGTCTGGCCAGTCACTCATTTGATGGCCCGATGCCTCGAGACTCACGCCACACACATGCGAGCCAGGGCCGAGAAATCAGTCATTCCCTGCGAATAGGGTGTTGGTGTATGAGGTCTTCTGGGATGTCAATGACATTGGACTACTCTCATTGGACGATGTGGATTGGTTGGAGGTCGCCGGCGACTACTCTCAGTTGCTAGAGGGCGCGCTGAAGGACGAGGATGCAAGTTTCGACGGAACCCAACACGGGCTGGAGGCCGAAGAACGACAAAAGTTCACGATAAATGGAACCGACAGCCAAAATACCCCGACGCTTTTGTGGGAAAAGCCAAAAGTTTCTAAATGACGTTACGACGTGTTCCCGGCTTGGGAGCATATTTCAAAACACGGCATACTACAACGCCGTCATTGTTTATGTTGACGCTGCTAAGCGATCTGGGCATTCCTTCGACAGAATACGACGCAGCGACGAATACTGTACATTAAAAAGTTTACTTGGGCACCCAAGCTGCTTCGAGTGAATACGAAATGTCACCTACTCCACACACGGGTCGGTCATTCTGCCTCGAGCAAACCCCTGGGAGACTTGGTGCCAGTCACGTCTAAGGGAGTCTTCATAGCAGGAAGAAGCCTATTTCGATTGGAGTTGTGTGATCTTGGATTAGGCTGGGTTGGGGCGGCGTTTCTTCTTTTTTTTTTTCCCCCACTTCTTTCACGTATGTGATGTGCAAGCTCATACTGGAAAAGTCACATGTCGGATCCCGGTTGGCCTCCTCCGGCGTGAGTGGCACATTGGCAATTCGCTTCACTAGTCCCTACCGCTGCACTGCCACGTCTCATAGATGTATGCAGATCGGCAATGCTGGGCGGTTGAGATTAGTCTTCCCAGCAAAACCTTGCTCGCCATCTTATCCCTGATCGACTTGAGGGCCGACATGGCTGGAGGGCTTTTCTGGTATTTTTCATGTAGCAAAATACTGGGGTAGGACATCAAATGAGGTTGGGTGCGTGGTCCGTCAGCTGTCCCTGCGCAGGAAATCCGGTATCTTGGTGAGGGTAGACGGGTGGGGGATTGTATGTACGGATGAAGATACCGAGTTGATATTGAGGTTCGCGCCATGCAGACTCAACCTGCTTTTCGATTGGATAATTGGACAAGCGACTGGGAAGCAGGGTGGTGCAGAATCTGGATATACCGGCAGGGCTAGGCTCGAAAACGGACGCATCAAATAGGGATAGGGAATAAAACAGAATCAAAAGGAATGAGACGAGAGACAAAGTCCACCCTGATTCATCTGCCAATGTGTATTCGCTTGCTTGCTTGCTTGTTTCCTCGCGCCTACCTAGTACCTGGATACTTGGCGTGCAAGGGTTTACGTGTCAGGGGCGGCAAGATGAGTCTTTGGCGGTGCTACCATCGTTGCCTCAACCGCCTCCCTCCACAACTTGGCTATGGGTGTGTAATGCCGCCCAGGGCTCTCTCTGCTGCTCGAATAGTATGGGGGTTGGGAACGCGAATAGCTGTCAATATCCAACCTCAAAGTCAAACAGCAATCTCGAGCATGCATGGAGTTCCAAACTGCAATAAAGCCAACACGTTGATGATTTATTTTTCCTTATCCGACATCTAAAGGAACAAATTCGCTTCACTATCATAAAAACAGAAAATCCCTCCCCCGCCCCCCCCCCCCAAACCCAAGACTGGACAACCCTCGCTCAGCAAGGTTGGAACGTAGCCTTGAACCCGCTCTTGAACTGGGGCGGGAACTTGGCCGAGGTACACGCCGCCCCGAAAGCGCCTTTATCGTTGGAGATGCAGCACTTTTGGTTGCCCTTGAGCGCGCCGTCGATGCTGCCGCTCTTGCAGGCGACCTGGGTGAGGTTGGCGGTAAGGGAGCCGGAGGGCTCGTAGCGGCCTTTGTTGGGGGCCGTGTCGATCGTGCCGGCGCATTGGACGCGGTCTGCTGCTTTGCTGTTGGAGGGAGGGATGTTAGCTGTGGAGGTTCAGGGTGATGCGTTTTGTTTGGTGGGTGCGTGTGCGTGGTTGACTTACACTGAGAGAGCGATTGTGGCGATGGCTGCGAGAATGGTTGTGAACTTCATGGTGAAGGATGTGGGGGTTGTTTTTGGAACGGTAAAGTGCGTTGGCTGTAAGAGCGGAGGTAGCGATTATTGAGTGAGTAACTTGAGTCTACCAGGACTAGATGAAATGATTAATGCGATGTGATGAAGAGGGAGCAATTTCATAGCCGGGGCGCTTGTCATGTTTAAGTATTCTTCTCCTTCTCATGATTTCAAGGAATGGTTTAGCTTGTTTCTACGCATGTTTCTACTGCTTCTACTGTTTCTGTGTAAAGCGGCACCGCCGACGGCAGTGCTCAGGTTACTTGAAACAGCCTCCAGTCGTCAGCATATTCGCGCAAACGTGAAGCTGACGATAGCGTGTTCCAGCCCTCACGGAGTACGGATACATGGCTCCCTTTTTTTGATGTTTTTGTTCGTATGGTGGTCCCGATCGTTTGGGTTGGGGGGGGACTGAGAATAATTTCCTAAAGCGGGCGTGCTAAGCTTTGGCTGCCCACGTTTTGAGCCCAAAGGGGTGAGAAGTGTGAGGATCGTCCCCCTTTGAGATCCCCAAATTTAAGCTTCGCGCCTGGGTTTGAGGGATCTTTGATCCAAGCGCGTGGGTGAGAGAAGAACGGGTCGTGTTCTAGAAACGGGCTCTGCGGGTCTCCCTTGTTGTGTGCTAAGGTGCTTGAGTGACGTGACTTGACTCAGTTGTTGGCCAAAGACACGCCTGACTTCTCGGTTGCTTCCAATTGCGAGATTGGTGGACTAATTGCTTCTTCCGGATTCGAATATACTCTATGCTCGACTCGATAGAAGTTTGGGAGAAGGAGGGCTCGAGGTGGCCCAACCTGGACTTCGATTAGGTTGAAAGTAATTGTTACCTATTTAATTTCTTAGATTTGTTCATCCCATGAAGGCCACGCTTTCAGCTTTTCAATAGACAACCCTTGATAAAGACCCGATTCCCTTTGAATAATGCCGCACTTGAAAATGGCATCCTTTTCTGGAATCACCGAGTTAGGGCTCGGGTATTTGTCGTGAACCTTACTGATCTCAGGTGAGATGCAAGCTATTCGCAAGGGGAGAGCGGTGGTTCCATGTTCACTTCAGACGAATCTAGAAGCCTCGAAATGGCATCACTCGGCGTTCCTTGACCCGCCTCGACGCCGCCTCGACGGCTCTCCTGCATTTGAGATGGGACCATTGGATAGGATGAACATGATCGACCGACACGTCGATCCGAATGCTTCAAGCACAGGTAGTCATACAGGAAGCTTACCCTAACCGAGGAAAACCATACAGCTGAAACAAAGAACGAGGCCGACAGCTGATATAAAGCTCAAGGGATACCATCACCACCAACATGATTAGCCACTGCATCAAAGCCTCGCAGCATCTTAACTCCAACTTCATTTCCGGGCCGCAATATGTCCACCGAAACAGTCACATAAAAGGGTCACATGGCTTACGCAGCCACAGTGCTCCTGAGTGTATGCCTGTTCTCCGAACGACGACTCGTACCGGCTGTTTGGGACAGAAGCCTAAGTCGAGCACGGAGCTTGAGGCGGGTGAGCGGCCCGGTGGGATGGTTTCGCTGGCGAATACAGCCTGAGATCCATTTACTAGTTGTCTTCAAGTTACCAGTAGGTCGCATGTTGCTTGATCATTACCGCCTGCCGACGATGATAGAGATGTGCAAGAGGGAACACTTCTCAAGGGATCCAAGTCCTGGATACATGCAATCAGAAGTTCAACTTTCAATCAAAACTTGCAAGGGCCAAGCCAAGACGTCTTGCCAGAAGGACCCGACACTGTTCGATATCAAATGGACTATGGGCGCGCCAGAACCACCGAATGCCCAGAAACGCCGGTACCTATGCAGCATCGCGGCGTAAAAGGCCAAAACGACGAGGGCCTCCGGTTGATGCTGGTGCAGTGCTTCGACGTACTCGTCCGGGATACATATGGGCCACGACATAACCGCATGGACACCAACCTCGAACTCGTCCGGTCGTCCTCCGGCGAGGTCGATAACCCATTGAAGCTTTTCTAGCGCTGCGATGCAAAGAGTTGTCGACGCGGAAGGTGTTGGTGTCTTGTCCAAGAATTCTCTCAACTGCTTCGTTTCCGGACCTGGAGTCTGGACGGGTTCCTTGTCCATGACGTCCACGATGAACAAGAGAGGCTTCAGGTCAGACTGCAGTATTTCGTCCCAGTATTTCCCGGTGATGGATCGTACCCCTCGATGTAGACGCGAGTAATTGACAAAAGCATCGATGAAGTCTGCGAGAGAGCCGCAGTGCCATTGCAGTGTTTCGTAAAGAACATGTATGCCCAAGAGAGACGCAAATACAAAGGTCGGTATGTACGTCTTATCTGAGATGTGCTGCTTGATTTGGTTGAAGAACCCCAACGCTCGCGTCTGTAACTCAGTAGCCTGATGGGAATATATGGACGCCTTGGGCCCATTCTGTGTTGAAAGGTGAAGTGATGATAGCCCGAGGAGCTGGTCCAAAAGATACGGGGCCGTCAGAGAATGTTCGATCGCAGTGTCTATAAGGGGCCGTATGTTGCCGGTCAGAGCCATGAATTCTGACATATTTGACTGAGCATAGTGAAGGAAAGCCATGTGGCTCGCAGTAAAAGTCTGCCTTGTACAAGAGTACACTTCGCCAGGGTCCTTGGGAATGGCGAAACACCGGCTGGCGCAAATTTCATTGGGTGCTATGATACCGGTGCAGACTGTAGCTGCGGTGGAGGGTATGGCCGACGAGCTGTGGTCCATTTCCGTTTTGAGGTAGGAACATACTCGCTCCGCCATGATGCAATTCCGGCATTCCGGCCGGGTCTCGTCGCATTTGATGTGGCGTTTCTTACAGCCGCTACAGCCATTTCTCGACTTGCGATGTGTTCGGCGGCCTGCGAGCCGGTCGAGAAGTTGTTTCGACATGATAATAATAATGTGCGAACCGCGGAAGACGATATACGGGGAAACCAGATACGCGGATTGTTATGAGGGGATAATCAAAGAGAGTACACGCGGAAACGGTCACTTAGGATGTGCCAGGCTGTATTTAATCTTTCTAAGTATTTCTAGATTCAAAAGCTTACTCCAGGGGCTGAGGTTTCGTCTCGAGCGTTGGGGCTTGGCTTGATAAGTGTCTTTTCAATTTTTGCCTTACACGCGTATTCCTCATGGCGCCCCACTTCCCGTGCAGCGATGCGGTATCTAGTGCGGAAGCCATGCGTTCCTAGACTCACATGGCTCGCCAGTCTTGTGTGTACCTTGAAGTCGAAGATTTCAACGCACTGTTGTCTCCATGCAATAGCCTGAATCGACGGAAGCCCCGAGCTACTTTATTCAAGAGTTGAAGTTTGATTTATGTGAGGTACCTTTCCAAAGGCTCTAGCAGTGTTCCTGGCTACCGGGCTTTTTCTATAAACCCCGTCGCCGTCGGAGCCGGTCAATATTGTTACCCACTTCTTACTACTTCCTAACTCAGGGGTCATCCATGGGACAAAGACATCGAAAACCTTCGGACTGAAGGCACGGAGGAGGACTCGTGGTTCCATTCAGATTACAAACATTCCCTAGTAGAAGATTGGGGTTGACAGTAACCTGTAGCTATCACTTAACCATTCATCATGATTAGATAATTATGCTAAACTATCTGCACTTAACATACATCGGGGATCAATATCTGTAAGGAAAACCTCAAAGGTGACAGCCCCTGCTTGCTAGCGCCTAGTACGCCCTCTTCGCCTAAGAAGTCACTTGTGCCTTGGCCTGAGCTATGATATTCTTCGAACTGAAGCCGGCCATGAAGCGGAACATACCACTTGGAATAGTCCACTGCTTCTTCTCCGTATCCCAAAAACTCAAATCCCTTCTCATGAGCTGAAAGACCACAGATTTGGTTTCACCGACCTCAAGATGTATCTTTTCGAAACCTCTCAGAACCTTGACTGGCGTTCCCTCGGGTGTTGTAGAACTTGGAAAAGAGACATAGAGCTGGGGCACGGCTGACCCTGCAAGGCCTCCCGAGTTGGTGACCTGAATCGACGTTGAGGCCACCACCTTCCAAAGATCACTCAGTCCGCCTGGCTCAACGCCATTCGCTTCATCCGCGAGGGAGGAGATGTTCGCATCGACCTTGATCTCAAGAATGCCTCCCATCTCGAATTCTGTATAAGATAGTCCAAAGCCAAACTCATACTGAGGCTCAATGTCGTTCGCATCCAAGTGCCGGTAGTCAATCATCTGCCTTTCTTCGAAGAGCGAGTGCCAGGCATCTGGGTCGGTGGTAGGTTCCATCAAGTTGACAATGGCTGGACCGTAATCCGACTCGTTCTTCGGAATGGAATAGGGAAGACGACCTGAAGGCTCGACAGCCCCCCAAAGAACATCAACAATGGAGTTTCCCGTCTGTTCTCCCGGGTAATGAGCGTTCAGGATGGCCGTTATGTTCTCGTTGTCCGCCCACGGGATGACCACCACGCCAGGTCCGTGGATGATGACGACAGTGTTGGGGCACATCGCCGCGGTGTTCTCAACAGCTTTCGTAGCTGACCACTGTAGCCCGGCAGACTGTCTGTCTTGGCCCTCGGTAGCGTAGGATTTGAGAAAGAGAAGGCAGACATCTGGCACGGGGTAGATAGTTCTGAAACGGCCATCCGCTAGCTCGTCGTTGTCAAACAATGCTTGCACTCGCCCACCGGTAGACTCTACGTGTTTCCGAATAGCTTCGAAAGGGCTCACCAAGTTCGTGTGCCGAACGGTGCCAGAGCCTCCGCCGATATCGACAGTGCCCATTTCGAATCCCTCCGGCTGGGTTCCAATATCAAGAAAGACGGAGCCTATGGTGGGATAAGGGGCATCATTGCCGAAAACTCCGATATTGAGTTCGTCGGTCAAAGGCAGGGCGCCATTAACGTTCTTGAGAAGTACTGTTCCCGCAGCGCCTATCTCCCGGATGAGCTCCGCATGATTGCCTCTGACATCGCGAGCAGTGACTTCCGGGTAGCTCGAAGGGAGTTGGACCTGATGGCCATACTGGTAGCGCAAGAACGCAGCTGCACTAGACGGATCGATGGAAGGAAAGTCCTTGTCTTGCCCAAGCAAAAAATACGGCGTTAGGACTCTTGTCGCCATGTCGTTGAGACGGTCTGCTGAGACCAGGCCGCCGTTGACTGCGTCGAGGAGTGAATCGCCAAAGTAGGAGGTCCCAGCCGCGGCACTGGCATTGCCCGGCATTTCCAAGTCCAGCCCGGAGTTAGCGGAACTCAGCGTCTCGTGAGTAGCGTACCAGTCGGAAACTACATAGCCTGGGAATGCCAGCTCATCCTTCAGGATCGAAATAGTCTCTGGGTTGGCGCAGGAATAGTTTCCATTAACCCGGTTGTAGGAGCACATGATGCTTGCTGTCCCAGCCTTCACTGCATTAGCAAATGGCCATAGATACAGCTCGTGAAGAGTTCGATCGTCGATATCCGAAGAGATTGCCTCAATAGTTGTGCCGTTGTCGCTGATAGTCGAAGTCCGTTGGGTTTCCTGCTCGTTTCCTATGAAATGTTTCGAGCAGGCTTGCACGCCGACGGATTGAATACCGATGACTGAAGCATTCATGGCAACTCCAGCCAGATAAGGATCGGGCCCAAAGCCTTCCCAGTTACGACCTCCTGTTGCGTGGCGTCCCAAAGGTCCTGAAGATGGGCTAGGAGGCAATCAGTGTTGCTCAATACCGCATATAAAAGAAGAAGTCAGGCGCACCCCAAATGAACGTGAGCCCCCTTCGCTCTAAACTCTTCTCCAAGGGCGACAGCGCGTCTATACATGAGGTCTTTGTCCCAGGTAGCTGCCGTCGAGATCCCAGCAGGGAAGACGCTGACACCGTCGGAACGAGAGTACCCGCTAGGTCCATCCGAGTAACACACCCCATCGAATCCCAGCCGCTCGATAGATCCGATCGTACCCACGCATGGGAGCTTGGGACTCGAGTAACCTCCTGTGACGAGACCAATCTTTTCAACTGTCGTTGATTGGGACACGAAGTCCTTGGCTGCTATGGAAGCCTCATCCCAAGCTGAGGTAACGCAACCTATTAGCAGTTGTCGAAGAGTAAACGACACGACACTGGGAGCCCTTACATAGTGCATGGCCAGGGGGTAGTGCTTGGCTCAAGCTCAGTCCAAGGAACGCGGCGCCGGCTGCAAAGAACAAGCCTTTGCTGAACATGATTAGGGAAAGACTCTCCGCTGTCTGGATGATGATGAAAATGTCAATGCTGGAGTGATAAATGAATGTGTACCATTAAGAAAGAGAATATCTGTCGGTACAAGTACCATGCACGACCCTCGGTTAATCTTGCAGGTAAGGTCGCTCGAACGCGGGGAGGATACTATCAAACCTCGTTGCGATTTGGGTACTCCGCAGTGCCAGCTCTTCATCAATCTCTAAACTAGGATAGACAGCGTAATAACCATCTGCCTTATTTGCGCGTTTCCGAATATCAGTTCCCCGTTAAGGTTGTGTTCACCACCATCCCGGCATCTTCGCCAAGTCCACAGCTCCGAAACGTAGCCTTCATGACGATGAGTCCGTTTTTCTCAACGTATCAATGGAAACGATAACCGCGGATTCAACCCGCCACATCATAGTAGACTCAGCCAACACGCGGAATCGTACTTTCTTGTCGCACAAGGGGTTTTGGAGGCTAGAGAAGCGCCATGTCCAATGATTGACGCAGCTTGAATGTTCGCCAATGGGATGTCTGCCTGAAATGCCTGACCCGCGGGTTCATCCCACAGTGAAATGCTTGTGTGCACGTATCCGCGGATAAAGCTCCTGACAAATGTGAATTTGTAGGTTACACGTGCAACCAATGATACAACAGAAAAATAATACTGGAAGCCATCGAAAAACATTTATCATGATGCTACGAAGACGATCACGAAGCCATGCCTTCATTTGATAGAAAATTCATTGTTCCGGCTGTTTTTACTAAGGTAGTCTTTGGTCATATTTTTTCTTGCCGTCTCTACAATGGTCATCACTCTCCAGCCAAGAACCGATCCTGGCTCCAATTTATACTACTACGACATATGGTTCAGTTGAAAATCTGGGATATGCTGCGAGGAGTTGTTCAGCAAAGCAAACCCCAGACTGGACTTTGATGCCATATGTCGGACAAAGCATGCTCATTTCTTGGGCCCGGCTTTCTATGCCGCTTCGATTTATATGTTGCTTGGCCATCTAATCACCAACCTCAACGCAAACTCGTATTCCCTCATTCGAATTAAATGACGGACAAAATTCTTCCTCATGGGGGATATTCTGTCCCATCTTCGAGCAAGGAGGGGATATGAGTCTCTTGTTTGCAAGTCGCCATCTCTTCATGAGCCTCGGCATCTTTAGGCTTTGCTGGAAAAAGAGAACTTATTCTCGATTTTAGGGGGTGGCCTCCTTGCAACTGCAAACTCTGAATCATCCCAAAATATCGGCAACAACGTCATTCTTCTCGGTCTAAGTATACAAGTCCTCGTGTCGTGATCTATCTGCAACTTTGAGGATTTCGATGCTCTGGACGAGATCCGCTGCCACGATGGAGCATAAAATTGGGCTACGGGAACGCGGGTTCGGTGTCTCGTCTAGCCAGACTAAGTCTGCATCGACTCACCCAGCCACGCTGCTACTCTATGGGCTTGAAAGGTGCAGAGCCTGGGTGGGCATTTCGACATTTATTTCAGCTTCTTTGGCATGAAATTTGAATCCACCATGATGTTCAATACGCGGCCAAAACTAAGGCCCATGATGGATACAGAGGCGACGAGTAACGTTATTTATTGCTCAGGAGAGAGGGATATCGGAGCTCCCGAAGACAGCTAGTCACTTCCTAAGGTATTTACCCTCACAACTCACTACAGTTATACGTGTATCAGGCTCACTCAGGCATCAAGTGAAATTACAGACTTCACCTGTAGTACATCGCTCCCCTTTAAGCACCTCAGAAACCTTTGATAGGCTAGGTACTTAATGCAGCGGGATTGCCATTATTCGAGTCAACTTAATGTGACAGCCAACTCAAGGGAGAACAACCGCCATGTTCATCCACTACTTGTCTGCAACCATACTCCTATCGAGCATCGTCTCGGCTGGCTCAATTTGTAAAACCACCCCATACGACACAATCTGGCCCACGGATAACTATTGGACTGCCTTGAACCACTCTGTCGGGGGTGCCTTGATCAAAACCCGACCAGTAGCGTCTGCTTGCTATGACGGCAACCCCTTTTCTTCCGCTTTGACCTGCGATACTATTGATGCCGGCTGGTCATCTTCCACATTCCATGCAGGCTTTCCGGAATCCATCGACTATCCATTTTGGGCCAACAACTCCTGTGTACCTCCGAGCGAGTACGCATACAAGAACGATGGATGTAAGCTTGGAGGCTTGCCTGAATTCATCCTCAATGCTACGATTGCCGAACAGGTCGCAACAGCAGTGAAGTGGGCTAGCGCGCGAAATATTCGCATCATTGTCAAAGGAACCGGGCACGACCTGAACGGAAGGTGAGTAGAAGGCACATATCTAACTGTCTTTTGGTGAACTAACACCCTCTCAGATCCAGCGGCGCATATTCGCTGTCGATTTGGACTCATCAGCTTCGAAACATCAAGCTAGACAAGCAGTGGCCACGGCCGTCGACCAACATAACAGAGAGCGTCGCTATTCTCGAGAGCGGAAACAACTGGGGGCGCGCTTTGGAAGCCACAGCCGCAGCTGGAAGGACACTTGTCAGTGGGCAGGTCAAGACAGTCGGTCTCGGCGGCTTCATCGGCGGCGGTGGCCATGGCCCTCTTTCGAGTCACTATGGTCTCGCCGCTGACCAGGTCCTCCAGGCTACAGTAGTCACAACAACCGGTGACATTCTCGTGGCAAATGAGTTCCAGAACCGAGACTTGCTGTGGGCAATCCGAGGCGGCGGACCGGGTCTCTATGGAATCGTCACGGAGTTCGTCCTTCGCACACACCCCATCCCAAGCAACGTGGTCCAGACAACTTTGTCCCTGAGCATGACTGGAAACGACACCGGATCTTCTGCCTCCGCATCTTGGGACGCCATGGCAGTACTTTCCAGCTTCCTTCCGGACCTGATGGACACTGGCGTGGCAGGCTTTGGCAACGCGGCAACGTCGAATGTTTCGCCCAAGTCTTCCAGCGGCGTCGTTCAGGGAATCGGAGCAACCTTTACTTTCTTTAGCTACAACACCACGGCGAACGATCTCGTTTCAATTTTGAATCCGATTCGAGCCCGCATGTTGCACAGTGGAAATGCCAATCTCTCGGTGGCTATCGCGGAGCCGACGGTCTTTTCCTCGTACCTCTCCTTCATCGACGACCTCAATGATCCCGCCACTCCCGTTGCACAGATCAGTCTCATCTCCAGCCGCCTGCTCGGCCGCAACGAGCTGACTGAGATTCCCCTGTCAAAGCTTCGATCCCATCTGCAAGATATCACCAAGTCTCAGGTGGAAGGGGGTACTGCTGCACTGGTGTATGGTCTTCAGGGTGGATTGGGGCCCCGTCAGGTCGAGGCGAGCATGCGAGGCGCTCTGACTCCTGCTTGGAGAAGCGCCTACATCCACCTGATCAGCTCTGGGACGTATATCAACACGACGGACACTACACCGCAGGATGCCTTGGCCAATGCTGCGGCTTGGGCTGAAGAGAACAAAGAAGCAGTGTGGCGGAAGTGGGCGCCGGGAACGGGTGCGTACATCAATGAAGCCAATCCATTCAATAGCAAATTTCAAGAGGACTTTTATGGTGGCAATTATGACCGCTTGCTTGAGATCAAAGACAAGTACGATCCCACGGCCAGCCTTTATGTCCGGTCAGGAGTCGGAAGTCACAAGTGGGACTACAATTTGACGGCCAGTAAACTTTGTCCTAAGTAGCCTGGGCGCCATAATTACATGAGATATAGTATAGTTTGCATGCATGGATTATGCTCATTGCGCCTCTGGAGGCCTCAATGTACATACACCTAGAACGCAATACTTTCTTCTGCATGAGAACCGCATCGCTAGGCAGGGCCGTTCTTGTAGTAGCGGGACTCCAAAGTCGCAACCTTTTAAGAAAGAATTCCAACTCAAAGCAATGTTTCCATTGGATGAAATCATCTCCTTTTCAGTACTACAGGAAGATAACCATTTATTGACTACCTCTATATTTGTGCGGTTTATCTATAGTGTCATCCGGCTACCTTAGTTCTGGGTCAAATCCAATGGCGATATGCCGCACCTGGACAACTCTAAATACTTTTTTTCTTCTCCCGGTTCTCAATCCTGAGGTCCAAAGTAGCATTGGAATCATGGTTGGAATCCCAGGTAGCTTTCAGTATTACAGTCGGATCGGCCATAGTCGCAAGCGCCCTTAAATCCAACAGCGAGTGACATATGAGTCTACTTCTTGTGTTAGTTTCCATTCCAACATTGCAAAAAGATGATGTTTCCTCTCAACACCTGAATTGTGGATCTTCACGACTTCGACGCTCTCAAGCTCACTACAGAGCCAAAGTAAAGCAACTCTTGAGGCCCCGACTTTACAATTCACAAGGAATTGCAAGAATGACAGGCTATCCTTTGCTGGATTTAATCCATGGAAACCCTCCAATGTGTCCTAACTCGATGATAGACTAGACGAATGACACGCCTCCAAGAGAGGGCCAGCAATAAGGTGAAGGGAATCTTTAGAGTAAAGTCATAAGTCCCAAGCATCATTTAGTCTCACCAGATGAACCATACTTGCCACATCATGCACCTTAGTTCGAGTGCCCAGTGAGGTAAAGTCAAGCTGCCCGGATTGAACTTCCATTGAGCATCGTCGTTCACGCGGTACGTACCCTGATGATCAGATAAGGTACCTTCGTGGGGGGAGGAAGGTTCGGCCTTCCCCACACAGTAACCTGCACCTGCCAACTGCAGCAGCTGGTGAAATGTCATCCCCCACTTGGCAAGAACCCCGCCGCTTCCCGCGTCCCGCGCTGCAGGGACTGTGCTCCTGCCTCCAGGTCTGACCTCGAGCTCAAGCGTAACCTGCCATCCTTGTCGCTCTCAGCCTCTTCAAATTTCCCATACCATCATCTTCTCCTCTTCAACCTCGTCAGCATAATCATCACCAACAGTTCTCGAAGCGAGCTAGATACAACGTCCCGCCCTACTGATCCGCGCAAGAATCTCTACGATGTCTTCTCAACCCAACCCGCTCCGCAACATCCAGACGTCGACCGTCTTCCTCAACACAACCCTCGCCGGCCTGAACTTGGGCCTCTCCTTCTTTGTCGTACCCCGCCTCCTTGAGTCGCCCACCCCCCTCATGCTACGACAGTGGTCCAACATGTTCAAGCGGACCAGTCGGGTTTTCCCGCTACCGACCCTCTTCTGCGCATTGAGCTACTGGTACATGGCCTATGCTGTGCGCCACCTCCCCAGCAAATCGAAACTACTGGCCGCTGCCGGTGCTCTTTGCTTTTCAATGGTCCCCTGGACTGGCTTATTCATGGTCAGCATCAATAAGAAGCTGTTCAAGAAGGCCGAGGAAACCAAGGATATGGGCATCATGGCCATTGGCTTGACCCAGGAAGAGGAGGAGGGGGCCAAATCTCTCGTAGATCAATGGGGCTTGTACAACCTGGGAAGGGGCATTGCCATCGGTCTTGGTGGTGCTGTTGGTCTTTACAGCATCGTTTCTTGATCTAGCTGTGGTCTTCCAACGTCAAACTGGCATCCTCTTGGTTGGTGGTTATCTGCCTCGAAACGGAACTTCTCATCGATCACTTGGAATTATCGCTACGCTGCACTCTTTGAACTCATGGGTATCATCATTACAACTATTCTACTAATGTTACATCAGATTACTTTTTGATCTCCGTTCTTGCTCATTCACATCGTCCTCCGTCGTTTTCATGATTGCGATCGCAGAGTGCCACTTGTAACATCAGCATCGATGGCCTTTAGGGGCATCGTGCGGTTGAAGATCTTGTGGCCGACCAAGAGGACAATAAACAGGAGGACACTGACGTACGCAGTGAAGAAGTCACTGGTGCTCCACTCAATGAAGACGGCGAATCCATTGGTCAGAATAATGAGGACGTTGAAGAACAGGCCGTACCAAGAAAGGTAAGGTTGCAGTGGCGCAAGGTAAGGCAGGCTGCTACGCGGGATATTCTGGGCCTTGAGGGCGGCCATGAAGCGCAGATGGCAGATGTTGATGCAAGACCAGCTGATGAAGCCAGCGACGGCAGTAACGTTCAAGAGCCAGTCAAAAACAACACCACCGTTGGACGACAGGTTCATGTAGGCGAGCAAACCGACGGCAGAGGTAGTGGCAACTGCAAAGTAGGGAGTTCCGAACCTGTTGGTGTAGGTCATGAACTGAGGAGCGCACCTCTCGTTGGCAAGCGAAACAAGAATGCGGGAGCCAGAGTAGACGTTGGAGTTGGCGGCGGAGAGAACGGCGGTCAGGAGCACAGCATTGATGATGTCGGGCAGAACCTTGACACCAGCCAAGTTGGCAGCGATGACCAGGGGAGACGCGGAGGCATCCTGAGAGTCGAGCAGAAGCGATGGGTTGTCGGACGGCACAATGATACCGACGAAGAAGATGGTCGCCACGAACAAGCTGAAGATGCCCCAGAAAGTCCAGCGGACGGCACTGGGAACGCTCTTCTCGGGGTTCTTGGTCTCACCAGCACCAATACCAACCAACTCGGACCCCTGGAAACTGAAGCCGGCGGTGATCAAGACGGACCAGAAGCCAATGAACTTGCCAACGGAACCCTCAACAATGGACTCGTTGAACGCACCCGGGCTCACCCAGTACTTGAAGCCCAGGTACCCCTGCTGGCCAACACCGGCGTTGATGCAGATGGCAAAGATGATGAAGCCGACAATGGTAACGACCTTGATGCTGGCGAACCACATCTCAACTTCACCAAAAATGCGAATGGGCATGAAGTTGAGAGCAGTGAAGACGACCCAGAAGACACTGATAAAGATGGCAATGCTCAAGCTGTCGTTCCAGTATTGGATAATGACACCAGCAGCAGTCAGCTCGAGAGCGAAAGTGATGGACCAGCTGAACCAGTACATCCAGCCCATGGCGAAGCCGAGAGTGGGGTCGATGAATCGTGAGGCGTAGGAGGTGAAGGCACCGGGGACGGGGATGTAGGTGGCCATCTCGCAAAGGGCCGTCATGACGGAGTAGACGATGGAGCCGATGAAGATGAAGGCGATCAGGCAACCGACAGGGCCGGATGTCGCGATGGCCTTACCGCTACCGAGGAAGAGACCAGTACCGATAGTACCGCCTGCGACGATGTGTCAGAACAACTGCGACCCTTGCACGAGGCTCGGCTCGATCAAAGTGACATACCGATGGCAATGAACTGCAGGTGACGACTGTTGAGGTCTCGCTGAAGACCACCCGTCTCGCCATTCTCCAAGTCGGTCTTAGAGGCGTTGGTGGGAGTGACCTCGCCCTCACTTGTTTGAGGAGTCTTTTCCTTGGAGCCGAACATGGTGATGACTTTTGTTTGGCTTGGTAAATCGAAGTCGGCACGGGGTACGTTTCGTTCACGGACTAGAGCGACAAGTCTCGTTGACCGCGGCCAGAAGCAATGAGCACACTCGAAAGGATTGAGGGGACGAAGGAAGCCTGTTGATTCGCTTCTCCAGAAATCACCGGACGCATGTGCAAACAAAAACCTGGGGGGACAACAGGAGAGGTGCCGCCCCGAACGAAAAGCTCATGGCATGATTAAATACAATACGGGCCTTCTCTTACCCAACAGGTTCCACTCCGCGTCGACTCATCGCGACCGGTAACGGTGGCCATGGTTGGAAAAATCTCGAGCAGTGGACCGCGCTGGCGGCTGGACAGACTCGCACGTACTCACAGTCACACACACAAAGGCCTCGCTCGAGACCCTCTCCTTGGCTTCGCTCGTTGCGGGTTGGCCGATGGAGACGCGATGGTCTCACGCTCAAAGGCTCCATCACGCCCTGGTAGTGCGATTCGGGAGTCGGCCGGCCACGGGTAACAACGGCGTTGTCCAGGGGGTTTGCCTGTCGACCAAGAGCAATGTGGGAAATGGAGCGTGGAGATCAGCAGCTGTAGCAAGCAAGCAGGCAATGACATGCCATTCCGCTGCACGGCACGTCGACGCCCTCGCTGCCGCCTGCAGTTCGTCCGATCGGCCGGCATAAGCGTGTCTATTCCCATGGCTGGTTGCCAGTCGCCAAAAGGATCAAAGCCTGCGAGTCCTCCCACGCCGCCGCCCTCGCGCCACCCGATTCCCACCGAGCTTGGACCGAGCCCTTTCGTCTTCTTCTCTTTTTTCCCCCTGGAAAATGTCCGATTTTTTCTCTCCGCATGGCCAATCATGACGGTCCAATTCCTGCAGAGTCACGGCACCCGCAAGCTCTGCCCAGTCGCTGGACGGATAGAATTTTTCTCGAACATTTTCATCACCACCATTGTCCATTTTCAGCTAGAGATATCAAGCTTCTTCCAACCGATCCTATAGATGAGCTTGTCGGTCTTTGCCAAGTTTGTCTCGACTCTGGGCAGTCTGACTCTCTCGTTTCTCCAGCTCGGACATGTCCCCCCAAACGATCGGTGTACCCCGGCTGGTGGGTGATACGTTGCAGCACCGCGGTCTGCCGCAGCCGACCGCCATTGTCGTCACCAAGAGGGCACTGTAATATGTCCTGTCGTTGTCAGCCCTACAACGCCCAACAAGCCTCGTATGCCGCGCCTTGCAGTGACAATACAGCAGACCAGACCGCGCTAAGCTGAGGAACGAAAAAGGTGACTTGCAGGATTCCGTTCCTTGGTCTGCCTACCTCATTTGCCGTATCCCGCCCGGCTCCGACAAGTCTGGCGATGGACCGCGGGCGCGGCGTTCTAGCAACTAGCGAGGGGAGGATATTTGCCCCAAGCTCCCATCCCAACTCATCCCATCCCCAAGCTCGAAAATTTCTTCTCCCTAGTTTTCATTACGTCTTTTTGTGGAAACATTTGCAGAATTTTTCACACGATCGGAGCAGGCCGTCGAGACACTCGAGATTTGATGCTGAAAGCTCAGAGATAATGCGTTTTCTTGTGTCAATTCAGTGAGCAAACTGCATGTCACTGCTCTCTGATTCGAGCTTTCGTGGCTTGCTCTTCTTCTCTGCTCGATTGGCGGCCATCGTTTTCGTTCGGGGGTCCCCCATACATACCAAGCTTGCCTGCCATCCGGGAAGTGGTGCCGGCTTGCCGTTCAATGCTCGGAGATGAGAATTTCGCAGACAGCAGTTCCGGTTCCGTATCGGCTTACGATCATTCTTGTTTTTTACCCGGCGCTCGCTTTTCCCTCCTTGGCTGTTGTAAGCCGCTCGACTCATTCTAGATTCGAAGGTTGCTTCCGCTGCCGGCACGCGATGCCGGAGAGAACATATGAGAGCCGGATCCGAACCCGGCTTTGCTTTTCCGACACGTCTGGTCAACCAACATCCTTTGCACGTTGGGATGTCCACGGATATCGTTGCTAACCGTTACTGTCTCATATTCACGTGCAATGAAAATGGCATTATTCGGTTGATTTGGTCAAGCTTTACGATCTTTCCCATTTGCACTCTTGACGGATGGATATATCCGTAGTTGCCTCAGCGGTAGTTAAGATTGCAGTGCAGTTATTCCCTGGGCGCAAAGTTTTGCTGGACCCGAGGGAACAGAACACCCTCTCTGTGTGGGTTTTAAATGCAGTGCTGGAGCCGCATTCCTTGACTACTCTTCTGTACATTGCCTCCGTGGTTGTGTGATTCCATCTACTCTCAGTGGTATCATGTCACTGGGCAGAATCAACGTACAGGCCCGCCAGCAATCTATTTCCACGTGTTTTCCATGCTGCATCAAATGACAGATCGCGGGCGGATTCGGTTGAAGTGGGATATGTACCGGTTGCTGCTTATACCCTAAAGCACAATGTGGATTTGACGAGAGTTGCAGCTATTCAAATCCTTGTGTAAATGCCTACACTCAGCCGCTCAACTTTTGCAGCTCATGTCTTTCAGGGCGGTCTTATTTGCAGTGAAGACGTGGGTGGCCTGAGTAATGCTCCCATTGGCCTCTGATGGCGGCGATGTCCCGAGTGATTCTCTTTGGGGGAGTAAAAGTTGCAGTGAATTGATTTTCATTCATGTTTCGCGCCGGGTCGTAAACCTACCAAATCAAAGCCATGTCTCGAAAACTGGCAGACTTGCTCGGCGCATGCAATTTTCGTCCCATGAGTTGCCCTGCTACGGATACCTACACCCAACCACTCTGTATTGACTTCGGTCTACATCGGCTACGGCAGAGGCTCCTCGAGAGCGGCCGGAGTGGTCGACCATAACCCCGAACGCTTTGTTGCGTTTTCAAACTTCTCCTCTCTCAAGACGTCACTGGTACCGGATGGGTAGCACATGTAGGAGATGGCATAAGCGCAGCATCGGTACACTTGCTGTAGTTTTTATCAACGTACACGAGAACATATCGAGTAAGCATCAAACATTATTCAACATGGCAAATCTCATCGCGCTCGAAGAACATTACGTTTCTCCCCTCCTCGATGCCAAGAAAGGCGGGGCCCCCAGTCCCGACACATTCGGGCCCGTCATAGTGGAAAAGCTGGGGGACATTGGCCCGGCACGTCTCCGTGATATGGCCGACAACTCCGTTGCCATGACGGTCCTCTCTCACTCACCAGTTCATCCCGATCCCGAAACCTGCAAAGCCATTAATGATGATCTACATTCCAAGATCATTCATCATCCGGCCGAGTACGCCGCCTTTGCAGTCTTGCCGATGCACGAACCTGCCGCGGCCGCCGCTGAGCTCTGGCGCTGCGTCCAGGATCTAGGCTTCGTGGGCACGCTCACGGGAAACCACCTCGATGACGGCAGCTTCTTCGATACACCCGACTTCTACCCTCTCTGGGAGGCCGCACAGGAGCTAGATGTACCATTCTACCTCCACCCGACATTCCCATCCGAGGAGGAATCCAAAGTCAACTTCCAAGGCCCCTATGACCCCGAGATCGCAAAGGCGCTGGGTAGCTGGGGGTGGGGCTGGCACTCCCGAACAGGTCTCCACTTCCTCCGCCTCTTCGCCGCCGGCGTATTCGACAAGTTCCCGAACCTCAAGATCATCCTCGGCCACATGGGCGAGATGCTCCCGTTCATGTTAGATCGCATCATCGGTATGTCTGCGAGGTGGCCGGCGCCCGGGGGCGGGGAGCGAAAGCGCGGGCTGAGAGAGGTATGGGATGAGAATGTGTGGATTACGACGAGCGGCATGTTTTCGCTGGCGCCGATGGCGTGTTTGTTGCAGGAGACCAAGGTTGAGAGGATCATGTTTAGTGTTGATTATCCGTTTGCTGGGAACGGTGCTGGCAAGGAGTTAATGGATAAGTTGAGAGGGAGCGGGCTTGTGAGTGAGGATGAGTGGGAGGGGATTGCGTGGAGGAATGCAAAGGGGCTTTTGAGGTTGAAATTTGAGCCAAAGGACTGATTATAGCGAGCTTGAGATGCAATTCTGGCATTGCAGGCATTCATCGCCGAACAAGTTTCGGAGCGGCTTTGCCATTGAGTCGGGATGATGTGCAAGTTGAAGTTCCTTGACTCTGCCAAACTTGGAATCGGACCAATTACTCACTGTACACTGGTGCAGCGCCTCGTAATCAGACAGATTGCTGACCTGGTCATCTCACAATTCGAGGCTAAATTTATGATGGAAATGAGAAATACGGCTGAGAAAGCTCAAATTAATGGGTCGAATGTAACTGACGATGGCATCTGAGGCGATTGCTATGTTGGGTGTCTCGGTAACTATTCCCGAGCTAGGTACACTCCTCCGATCGGCGAGAGTTGCCGGGGTGCTTGCATCGCAACTCTACTCATTCATCATCACCAAACTCTCGAACGCTCAACGAGTTGGAACCATCTGCAGTCATCTTTGACTGTGTTGCTTTCAATCGGTCCTCTACTTCAATTCATTGTAGCACATTGGTGCCGCTCGTCGCTATGACGCTCTCACTCCCAAAGATCGGGATCCTCTCAATCGGGGATATGGGGATGGGTATCGCCAAATTGCTTGTCTCCAAAGGCTTCTCGGTTGCCACAAATGGCCAAGGTAGGAGGTGAGAAAGGAATCAGTCTGAAGAAAAGCTTTCGTCGCCTACACATACTTAGGTACTTACACGATGATAGCCCGACAACAATCGCCAGAGCCCGCAGCGCCAACGTAGAGGTCCTGAGCTCCGACGTTCATCTCGTCGAGTCGCGACCGTTCATCCTCTCCGTCGCACCACCGCGAGACGCGCTCAGCATCGCCCGACGCATCATCGACGCAGCAGCAACGACAAAGCTGGAGAAGCCGCTCTACTTCACCGACCTCAATGCCGTCTCGCCAGCCACCTGCAAGGAGATGAGCCAGATGTTCAAAGAGGCCAACAGTCCCGTCCGCTTCGTCGACGGCTGCATCATCGGCGGCCCGCCGAAGCTCAAGGCCAATAGCGGCGATAACAACCAGTCAGCTGCGGATCAATGGTACGTCCCAAGCATGCCGGCGTCCGGACAGTATCCCCTTGGCGAAGCATGCCCCGAGCTCGCAGAGGCATTGAACATGCGCCACATCTCGCCCGAAGTCGGCGCAGCCAGCGGGTTGAAGATGTGCTTCGCGACGACGACGAAAGGATTTATGGGCCTAGCAATCCAAGCGTTCACCACAGCGTCCAAGCTCGGTGTCGTGGATGAGCTGCGCAAGGAGATGAGCGAGGCCGCGCCCGGCTTGCTCGATTTTGCGGAGAAGTCGGTCCCCCTCGTGCCGCCCAAGTCCTACCGGTGGGTGCGGGAGATGGAGGAGATCTCTGACACTCACCGCGCTGAGGGCGGCTTTGAGGCTGACAACGATGTGTTTCTTGGCATGGCGGAGTTGTATCAGGCCATGGCGGATGATCCCGTCTTAGGTGCCGAGAAGGTTGGCGAGAGGAAACGGGGGACGACGATCGACGATCTGGCTGCTGCGCTGGGGGACGGCTTGGCCACCAGAAAGCAAGATAAGTCTGATTGAAGCTTAGTGTAAAAACTTGCTGGAAGATCATCCAAGCCAAAATCCGACAAGACACATCATTGATGTTTTTGTGTGCCTCATCTTGGTTCTACGGGCGGCTGGTTTCGGTCTCGCAGGTTGATTACCCCGCGATGCAGGCACGGCGCTAAATCGGTAGGTCTCAGTTATCGCCAGCTTGATACTTATGCTCCTCAATGTCAGCGTCCGCACTTTTGGATATCTATCTCTCTCTTCCCTAACATCTTTCAATCAGTGCTGCTCATTGCAAACTTGCTCATACAAAGCCTTTCTTACGCGATCACGAGCAACACCAATAAGCAATGAGACTCGACCTTGGAGACTCAGCAAGCAATGGCTTCACAGCGGGGCCAGGATCGTCCTCAAGGGCGTGGGATCGCGACGTGCACCTCCCGCCCGAAAACCCCAGCTTGCATCTCTGCTCAAGACACCGCGTCATGGATCTCAAACAGTCTGATTTTGCAGCTAGGCCTCATAAGCACGCGTTGCCGCCCGACTGGCACTTTGGCACTCTATCAGACGTTATCAAACGGAGCGATTACTGTAGGTTCTGCAAGATGATCGCCTCATCCGTCTCTACAAACAACTACAAAGACGACGTCGAGGTTCTGGGCTGTTGGGTTCCGGATGTGACCTTTGAGGGGACCGATAGTAAGGACACAGAGAAGACCACGATGAACACGCTGAGGTTACGGATTGCTCCGGAGATGGTGGGGTGGGAGGACGCTTTCGCCCCGTTTGATATTGTTCCTTTGGCGAATAAGTCCGAGAACGACATGTTCAAGGGACGATTCATTGACGAGAAGTCTATTGACGGCGAACTTTTAAAGACATGGCTACGGACTTGCGAAGAGAAGCACCACATCGTCTGCTGGCGCAAGGACGAGCACGCCGCTGGCCCCATCGACCCATTCATTCGACTTTTGGATCTCAAAGACAAATGCCTCGTTCAGAAGTCTAATCTCCCGGACTTTGTCGCACTGAGTTACGTCTGGGGTAGGGGGGCCGTGAACTACAAACTCACAACTGACAACATTGACGAACTCTTCAAGCCTGGCGGACTAAGCAACAACATTGATCAGCTGCCTAAGACGATTCAAGACTCCATCAAGCTGACGACCTTTCTCGGTCACCGATATCTGTGGATCGACTCACTCTGTATTATTCAGAAGGGCAATGATAATGACAACAAGGTACAGCTCGCACTCATGGACGTTATCTACAGCAGAGCCTCTTTCACGATTGTTTCCGCCAACGGCGAAGACGCGAATGCTAGACTATTTGGCCTCAACGAAGTCGAGAGGACCAAGAAGCAGCATACCGCCGAGTACTCGTCCGACCTCACCCTCCTATCGCTAGTTCCCGACTTCGAGGATGGAGTTCAGCAAATCTACTGGAACACGCGCGGCTGGACATATCAGGAACGACTACTCTCACGCAGGCTCGTCTTCTTCACCGACAACACGGTCTACTTTCAGTGCGGCCAGATGACCTGCAGCGAAGACTTCAACATGCTTCGCGACGACGTCACCCAGAGCGCCTCGCAGCAGAACATCACCTTGTCTCGCGGGGAGGCGCCGCCGACTCTAACTCGGCGGCACCAATATCGCTTAGGTATATCGCCCGAATTCTACTATCGGATGGTCACGGAATACACATCGCGAGAAATGAGCCACACAGACGACCGAGTCAACGGGTTCAAGGGCATCTTGAACGTCATCGAAAAAGTGCCCAAGTACAAAGGGGTCTTTGTATGGGGCACATGGGCGAAAGATTTGCTTCTCTTTTCTCTACTGTGGCAGCCGCGACAGGAACTCAGCAGGGTAGTCAAGTACAAGTCCGACCCGCCACTTATTCTCTATCCGTCATGGTCATGGGCAGGATGGACGGGAGCCGTACGCTTCGACGATCTCGACGATTGGAACGGCTTGCCTGCCCTCAAAAGTACGTTCGATCGGGTTCGTCCAGCGGGCTGGGGCGTTTCTCTTGAGCTGAATAAGGGCGGGAAACCAGAAGAGCACGACTTCCACTTACGGCTTCGAACAAGGGTTGGGAATTTCAGGCTCACTCTTCACGACAGGAGCGGAGCCCTGAAGCCACCCTCACTGCCGGACGTCAAGGAACCGCACCCTGTTCGCTTTGGCATCACGCACTCCACCGCCCCGAAGAACGGAGGTGAAGACGAATGGCTTGGTTCTATCCTGATGCCAAAATGCTACCGGCAAAAGCTGGGAGGGCCCTACGAGTTTGTTGTTCTTTCGGATGCATACGGCTTCTCAGGAGAGGAGCTCTCGAGCCATGCTGGCCAGAAACCATGGGAGGCTGTCAACGTGATGATGATCAATCGCAGTGACACGAATGAACAAGATCCAAAGGCTGTTCCGGTTGTTCAGCGGGCCGGTGTAGGTAGGATGCTGAAGTCTGCATGGGATGAGATCTCAACAGAGTTAGAGGAGATCTTGGTCGAGTGAGTGCCAAGTTCTACATAGAACAAGAGTCTGACGTTCGGCAATCCCCACATGCTACGTATGCCGATTTGGAGGGGCGGGATGAATGGTGCAAGCTGTCGCTAAGGCAACGAATGAATGATCCCCAGAGATTGTAAGCAAAGACGGCAGTTAAATTGAGTGAAGTTCAAAGTGAATTGCGATTTGTTCAAATATATACACTGAATGTAATCCGACAGAAGCTTTTCTGTGTGCCAAATTCCCCTCAAACCAGACCGTGGTGATAAAATACTGCGAACCTGAGTGTTCATAAAGCCGGTGACCAAGCATCTTCGGCATAGGGTTTCCAAAAGAGCCTCGACGATGAACCTCAGTCGTCGTCCGGTACCCTCTCATCTCCCTATTAGTGGCCGTGACCACCATAGCCACCACCGTATCCGCCTCCCTTTCCGCCACCGTATCCGCCACCACCGTATCCTCCTCCGCCGTACCCTCCGCCGCACTTGTATCCACCCTTGCAGTTGCCGTATCCACCGCCTCCGTAGCCACCACCACCACCGTGACCACCACCGTATCCGCCACCGCCATATCCGCCACCCTTTCCGCCGCCGTATCCTCCGTAGCCACCACCGCCGCCCTTGTTGTTAAGAATATCAACTCCGCCCTCCTTGTTCTTATCTTCACCTGGAAGACCAGCCTCATCCCGCTTGCCGAGATCGTTGTCTTTCTGGTCGCTCTTTGCTTCGTCGGAGCCCTGAATGCCGTGGCCGCCTTTACCGTGACCGTAGCCACCGCCATTGCCGTAGCCGCCTCCGTTGCCATATCCTCCACCACCGTACCCACCACCTCCGTAGCCGCCACCTCCCTTGCCCCCTCCGTAACCACCGCCGTAGCTGCCGTAGTCGCCGTAATCGCAGCCCTCGTCTCTGCCACCTCCCTTGCCGCGCTTGCATTTGCTGTTATTGTGGTACTGATCTTGGTTGTTCTGTTTCTTGTCATTGCGTGCATCGAGTTGGGATCTTTCGTTTGGTTCATCGCGAGCGGCGATGGCTTCGCGTAGGGTCTGAGGGTTACCACGTCAGTGGGGCAATTCTTTGATAGCTGAGGAGGAGTCATACCGGTATATCAACATCAGGCTATCGTTGTTGCAAATGAGTCAGTACGTTACTTGTGACGGGGAATGAGGCCCAGAAGGGAGAGCAATCCAGGTATAAGGCTAGTGGGACGATGTGCTCGCCTAGAGTCACTTACAGCTGCCTCAGGGGAACGCTATCGAAATGTCAGAATCTTTCTAAACAAGAGAAATCAAAGTAGCCTAAGACTTACTTCAACAAGGTCACCTGTCTCGAACCCGGACTCAGGGATTGGCTGGGCTACTGGTGCAGCTACAGCAGCGATGGCATAGAAAGCCATGCCAATTGTGGCGGTTTGGCTGAAAGACGGAATATGCATGATTGCAGATTTGAAAAATGGAAGAGAAAGTTCAAAGTTGAGTTATTGAAGTGATGCTTGAGTCAATCCACTAAAGGTGAGGATGTGATGAGGGAAAAGAAATCAAGGTGAACTGAGAATAACGGCTTCGTACTTATACTCGAGATGAATCAAACTGCCATCGATGTAAAATAGGAACGATGTTGCCAAATTACATCTTGTACATAGTAATCCGCGGCTGAGTTGCGCCCAGCTGAACTCGGCTTCGGGAATAACTCACACCTTGTGAGTTGCCAATACGGCAACGCGAAATGCAGACGACAACGCGAGGTGTGGTGATAGTCCAGTCAGCCGATGAGTACTAAAGTATATCCCTTTCAGGGCTACCCATAGAAGGAAGCCATGATCTGCAAAGGCTTAAATCACGCAAAGAAAAAGTCTCTGAGTAAGAGATCCGAAGATTAGAGTTATCTGCGTGCATGGCCAAGCAGAGCCGCCCACCAACTTCAGCCATCCGATCTAGGGGGGAATATTCGGATGTGAGGGGAAGACCAGTTATTGTCCACTTTTTGCAGACGCTGTTAAACTTGGCGTGAGACACCCGTGGACTCAGTTCTCATCCAGATGAACAGTGGTGGAAGAACCGTAGACAGTATTTGCATCAGTGCTTTTGACAGTTTGGTTGACAGCGCCTCGTAAAGCAAACTCATGTTCCGAGAATTCCTTAAGGGAGGTATCCGAAACTTCCTTTAGACCCTTTATAGTAGCACGCAAGAGAAGTGAACGCCTCGTGTGTTCAAAGCTCTGTAATACCCAGCAAGATTTCGAAGACATGAAATGGCCGCTCCATGAAAATGAAAGTATTCCTTTGCTCGAGGGATCTTTAGGTAGGCCGGCCCCTCATGATGAAGGCATGCGATCCATATTTCCATGATCCGAAAGCTAAACTTCGTTTTCATGCCGATTAATAAGGTCTAGACGTAGAGTCGGCCACTTGCTAGCACGAGAGGCCGAAGCAGGCCAGGCGAGGGAACTAACATTTTGCCGCAGCTCCGCCCTCCGGCATCGTCGTAAGTCAACGATCATGTCGGCAGGCCTTAGTCACACCACAAATTAGGCGGTATAACCGGCATGAACTTTCTCATCCCGGAAATAATGGCAATTCCATGACTCCTCTCAGCTACATTTGAACTTCACGCTGGTTGTTTCATATCCCGAAGCTCAACCAGTGGCCGCGTAAACTGTTTACAGCTCGATTGAGTTGGCTCGGACCTCCGAACCGCCCTGCGAAATGTCACCGAGCCCATCCACGCCTATAAACAAGGGCAAAGAATGGCAACTTTGAGTTGACTTGGCAGACGTCAATACCATGATCTACACTACCCGAAAGACTTTTTCCATCAACCGGCAACTTCGGTTGCCCACAAGCGCTACCAGCAATCTGTTTCTACGTTGAGGAGACGCTCGATACCACGATTGAGGTCCATATTTAACGCGCCATTTGAGGCAGCGCAGTAGAGGAAGAAAACGAAACCGAGAAGCAGATGGTGACAATGAGGGCAGAAGACGACCGGGCTCAGCTCAGCCCAGCTCTATTGCGGCTGGATGGCATCCTACAAGCTGGGTGCATGTCGATGAATTACCCAGGAGTTCCCTGTTGTTCGCCCTGAAAGTAGGAGCTTTTCGGCCCTCGTGCTCGTACAGCATCAGAAACCCACACGAGATCCAGACCTCGATAGTTCACATCGAGTTCGTGATCCTTTGGTCATCGCGTTCGGCTGGTGTGGAGTTCGCAGCTTAGGATTTAAGCACGTGAGTACGCCACCGGCGAAAACTTTCGAGATCCCACAGGAGAGGGTTTGTCGGATGATTAATGCGCGACTTCATCTGTTGCGGCATTCGTCTATTCATCAGAAAAAGTCTCACTGTGCTGAGTGTCGATGCGTCAGCAGAGCTACTTGAGGCTAGACTCCACCTTGCAATGCGGCAGGCATGGACATGACTGAACGACCTAGCACGGACCAGATGCAAAATCCCCCGGATGGATGCTTCATCCAACTTGTCTCCGAGGATGGCAATTTGAGTTCATCCAATAATATCAATTACACGTCGTCCAAGATGTACACGCCACTTAGTAGGTGACCTACCGTAAGTGAGGGTTCCCGACGTGTTACTATCATCAATCCCCTTTAGAGCCCCTGAATCGTTGTGGAATCATTGACAGTTTGACAACGGAGGAAGAAGTCAGCTAGTCTTATGGAAGAACTATGCGTCGATAACAGAGGCTACACAAATCTTGAAGTGCTTTAGTCACAGCATTGCATAGATCAAGCTTCAGTGGAGGTGAGAAGATCGTCATCTGTTTATACACGCCAATTACCTCGTTATATGTTCCGAATCAGTTCGGTTACACCTTACACTAGAACTCAAGCTCTCCAAGGGAATATGGGACAGATCAGTGACTTCGGGTTGAATTTTCCGCTCCTTTTTTCGGCCCCTGGCCTGGGTCACATTTCGCCCACGTTGGACTTGATGGTGTGACAATTAGGCACTAATGCGCCTGTGTGGTGTTCATCAAAGCTTGTTATTGCCGTGCAACATGTGAAGTCTAGCTCTCTGAGAACAAGCTTCATTTGGGTTTAAGTCTTGAGATTTGACTTCGCATTCGGGGCTTATTAGATGATCAGTCAGGGCCCCCAAAGACCTCACACCATTATCTGTAGACTCGACCTGGACCGGTCTCTGGGACCTTGACCGTGTTGACAGCCGCTGTAGTGAAAGCACACTTCCCAACACCCCCACTCATGTGAAGAACTCCCCACTGGACAGGTAGTAAATAGCCGCCATCCTGATCTTTCTGGAGGACGTGGCAAGCAGCACTTATTGCCAGACTGTTGGTCGACACCATTGGCATTGTGCCATCATAGCGCCGCAGCCCCATACCGATGATAATGACGACGAGAAGGAGCCCCGCAAGTAATGCTAAGCCTTTGTATCAGAAACCGCAGGCACAGTCGAGAGTAATGACAACAGAGGCGGACCTACTGACAAACACAGCTATAGGACTATAGCCACATGTTGAGAAAGAGTTGACATCATCGTCACTCCCGTCTGTGGATATGGCTCGAATTCGTGCCAGGAAAAGGCTTTGTGACACCAGCCAATGCATGATACCCGAGCTGGCATAGAGGGGAATCCCATATCTCAAGGGCAAGGAAATAAAGTAACTTGATCGTTGGATGCCGACTGGTTTGGAAACTCTTAGCGGCTTTCTGTTGCCCGGATCCCACATGCGACTGAACTCTCTTTGGACTAAAAATGTGCTCAGCATAGTATTGTAGACGATGTACAGGATCGAGAGGACGAGTTGAGGCAAGTTAGCCAGTAGCACATTGGCTATCAACCCTCCTGGATCCGTACGAGGCATGTTAATCACCAAGTAGGTGTAAGGCGTCAGGGCTCCGAAGCCTAATTTCCACAATTGTGGGATCTTTACGCCAAATCCTCGTTGTCTTAGGCTTACGAATGACATCGTCAATAGCACAACAGCGATTATGATTACAAGAAGACACCTAAGGAAAGATAAGTCAGTGACTTCAGTAACAGAAAGCAAAAACCAGTGTTCCTACATGGTCAGCATAATGACCCAACGTCTAAGGCTTGCAGAGGATCTCCACTGCTTTGGGTTCTTGTCGAACTTCCGCGGCTGAGGCGTTTCTCGGAATATTGTTGGGGGAGATCTAACAAAACGGTTCTGCAACGTTCGGGTAGTCAAGAAGTCGTACTTTGTCGCGAGTCCCATACCGATGGTTTTCTCACATGGCACCCGCATGAAAGAAGCGATGGCATCGCCCAAGGTGTATAAAACCTCCTTCGCCTGGTTTTGTTTCTTTGGATTTTGCCACCTTCTCAACGCCCATATAGAGAGCATGATTGCCGCCTTTATCATATTCATAATGCAGATAGTGAACATTATCGGAGGCGAATATTCAAATCGACAGTTTGCGCTAAGCCCTTCTGGCGGCTGAACGATACATCGCGACACCTCGTAGTACGGAGGCCCAAGGAACCATTTCGTCACGGGCTTCGGAGGTGACAAAGCTGCAAAGTGACCAGTACCATTGCCTAGAGCCCACATATTCTTGGACCAGTCGTCTGACCGAGGGACGATAGAAACATACATGAGCAGACTATCCTCTGGTGGACTCTGCAAAGATTCATTCTTGACTAGAATGATCGCGTTTCCTTGAGGATTGAAGTAATCATCATACAAGTCGAAACACGCTGATATGTTGCGTTCTTCGTAGATAGATACATTTCTCTGTATTGTCCGAACCACTTCTTCGTAGTCTAAGTTTGAGGGGTTGACTCTGGTGTCTTCCCAGCCGTAGTCGCCGGCTCGGTTATTCTCTGCCGTCTTCAAGCTCCATGAAGCATTGTTTAGAAAAGAGTCTTTAACAACGACAACTGTGTAATTGTGAGATGAAAGTGACTGGAACACAGCCGAGTTGTATCTTCACGTCGCAAGCGTTAGCGGATGACCGAATGTCTCGAAAAGTAATGGAAGAAGTCTTACATGAGATGGATGGGAATAGAGGTTAGCGCCAATAATGCCCAAGAGCACCGCCTCCACATGCTGAGATATTTCAAGTTTCGGAGGCTTGGAATACCAATGTCCAGCCATTTTTGTTTCTCGTGAGCAGCATTTACGTTCTCACGTGTGGGCGCAGCCTGTAGTTGCATGCAATAATTCGAAGCCGATAGCATGCCAGTTCCCAGCAAGTTGATGAGCAAATGCAACCACTGGTCGAGCCTCTTCACGGTTGAGCAGTCGCCCTCGTATATCAACCCGACACCGTTGCGGCTTCCGTAGCTTTTCACAGCAAAAATGGTCACACCGAGATTCGTCATTAGGATGAAGCCTATAATCCCAATCTGGACCATGAGAGCGCGGCTTCTCCGTGAGAACCATATGCGCCAACTGCTGTTTTCGTCGCTTTTTATCTGGGGAAACCATCCTGAAAGGGTGGTTTTATCGGCAAACTGCTTGGCTTGAAAACTTTCGGCTCTTTGCTCGAGGTCAACCGGGTTCGTATCGCGACGGTCGATGTCATCTGTGGTCTCGTTTGAAGCTGTTCCAGGCAATGGTGCGGTCGTGGTAGATGACTCGACCGGTGTTCGTCTTTGATCGTCGACTACAGCGACTGGTTGCGCAACTGGTGTGATTCTGCGACAAATCAGTTTAGCTGAAGATACGGTGATCAGTAAGAAGTGAAATGAATACGCACCGTTCTGAACCTGCATCGGATTTAGCCATAATTGTTGATTTGCAGGAGTGCTCATTCCTTCCATACCGCTTCGAGGTCTGGTCTACATGACAGCAGGATCGACAATATGTTGAAGGAAAAAGAGGTACAGAAGCAAACCGGCGGGGGAGAGCAGGATGTAAGGCTCTCGTCGAACTTGAATCAGGCTCTATCTTTGGACACCATGCTGTCAGCTACCAAATTCAGCTGCAAGTCCATGGGTCCTGTCTTACCTATGCCTTGGTCCGAGACCTGCATTACGGCTTCACTTTATTGGTTGAGCTGTTGGTCTGTGGGCTAGGATGTATCGCGCGAGACTGATTGGTAGCCTGATTCCGAATCGATGTCGCGATACTTTGAAAATTCGAGGCCACCGCGATTGGCGCTGGTCTGATGTGCTTACGGGAGTATTTCTGGCCCGCTTCAAATTACACTATCGATTTGGATTGTAGGTGTTCGATACATGTATTTCAGTGCCTTCCTTTTGATCAATTTACATGAAAACTTGTCCTTAACGATGATATTCGGCAACTAAGAGACGAACAGACTTGAAGGTCTCAAGTCCACAAGTGAAACTATTTTCCATATTACACTGGGCCTTGTAGGGATCGGGCACCAAATTTCCACCAATCGTGTATCATTCATGCGTATCTCAAAGGAACAACCTCAGATCTGTAACAAAACCTCGACAGCACTTCCAATCTCTAAACTCTCTACAATGGCTTCTTGCCATAAATCACCCATCTGTTTATTGTTAACATCATTCACTTGCACATCGAGCGAGTCGAAGTTCAGGTCTGCAAGACAACGGTGGCGAGAAGACTCCTGAGTCTAGATAGATAAAAAGAATATGTGACTTACAAAGGGCAGTAATGGTGGATGCTCCGGTCTTTCAGGTCCTTTCTGACTTGAGCTAGAAAGGTTTGCACCTCTGCATTGCTCCAGTTTAGCGCCCTCGTCAGTGCTGCCATCGTCCAGGCTTCAAGGCCCTCGGAGGCATTTTCAAGAGCCCACACCCCAAGTTCTTTGTAATATGGATCTTTTGCCCACGGGCCGATGGGCCACTTGAACGGAACAATGGTCACATCGACGAAACCAGCTGACTCAAGAATAGGAACTAGACCCGGAACGTGGACGAATGGGCGGCCGAGGATCTTGCAGCATTCGTCCAGCTTGTCTGCCCACTGCCAAAATGCGTGATCAGGAGTCAACGACCCATCGTCCGACTGTGTACGCGCATGGCCTTCGAATAGTTCAATGTAACCACCAGGAGCAAGACCGCTGCAGAGGATTAATGAAGGGTGACACGGAAAAACGAAGAACGCGTACTTGTGTGCTTGCTTGAAGAATGCGTGCCAGTCCGAAACACTAGATGTCATACCACGGATATGGATATAGTCAAAAGGCTGGCTGAATGTCCAGGGTTGTTCAATGTCGTCAACTTCGAATTTGAGATTCGGTGGAACACTGCAAATCTATTAGTGGTTGAAAATAATCAAGAAAGAGGCTGAATTATACAATTGAGTCTGCACCGGTGTAAGATCGACCCCTAGAACCTGCGAACACTTTAATTTTGATCTTCTCGCTGGGAAATGAAGCTGAGCCCACCTCAGCTTCGGGATGTTCATCGGCGAATTCGATGGCCCAAAGTCCCGTGCCTGTTCCGATGTCCAGGACGCGCTTAACGCCTGAATTCTCATTGTTCGAGGGAGCAAGACCCAGCTTATATTCCAGTGTCAACAGGTAGAGGTTATGCTGCAAATCTTCAAACTTCTTTAGTAACCAGACTGCTCATTGTTCCTCGGGCTACGAACCAAGCCTGTCGTTCTCTCTTTCGTCGTTGGGGAAAAGATATTCTAGTTTTGTTAGAAATTTCTCTTGAAGTTGAATTCGATGCCTGGCGGATCCGAATACGAATGAGGTTGCTCACTTCCGTCTTTGTATTTGTGGTAAGTTCTCCCATTCTCTAAGCGATGCTGAAGAATCGAGCTGGACAAGCTTGTGCTTGAAGATGCCACACTCTACAGCGAGTCAGAAGATCATTCTCGTATAATGTATCAGAACGTTGCAGCGAGAAGTCGTGCTTACTGTCGCTCTGTCCGAGGCATCATCATCCGTCAACTATGAGCAGAGTCAGTGACTTTCTTCTGATAAAGTCTACGGTATTTCTTACGTCGCTGTTCTCTGCTTCTGCCTCTAGGATGGGGCCGTGGTTGGTTGCAATAGCGTGACCGGCACTACTAGTAGGCTCCGGGTTATTGGCGGATGGTGAAGAAGCAATGCCTACAGCGCTCTCTTCAGCTCGAGCAGTTCTCTGAGAGCCAGCCATGGTGTATGAAGATTGGACTATGAAATGGCAAGGAATTCGCCCAGATAGCGAGAACAACTTGTGCTCTTTTATGTCTCCAAGTGTCCAGTCGAAGTTACCCCTCATCTTAGCTAAGTAGGATAATGCAGGTCTGTGGCACTGTGACAGTGGAGCATCGTGCTTGCTGATGATGTTGGTTCCAACAAACATGAGTTATGACGAGTACTGACATGAGCAGCAGCAAGTCCACCATACCACCAACACAGGAAAAGCATTCTTGTCTGCACCGAAGTGCATCAAAACCGGATATAACCCGGTCGAACGTGCGCTCATTCAGTTGACTTACAATACAGGCATAGAGGCCGTCTTATTTGAGCCAGCAGATGTGAGCCGATGACAACGCGATAGAAGATGGAACTTCTGGAAGCTGACTGGATCTCATCGTTTGAGACTCAGTGATAATAACTGTGAGCAGATACACGGTTTCACCTCAGACGAAGTATCGATGCCGAATTATGATGCAGCTTCCTTACAGCCATCTTCGTGTAAAAGTTCATCTTCACTAAAAACCTAGGTTATTGCATTTCATATGTTTGACAAGTGTCGCAGGGTATACATGGCATTAGTTTATACCCACAATTAACACCGTCGATTTTGCGACAACAAGACAGTTAGACACCTTTGAACTTTCGCCCTCAAATCGCCCCGTCAAGCCCTAGGCTACACAACAAGGTGCAGTCAGCCCCAATGTGGAATGTTTTCGAATTTTCGGAAGATCATGAGTCGGGAAAATTGAGCCAAAATATGAGCGGCGTGATTTGCCTCGGTGGCAGCTCAAGATATGGTGTGTCGCATATTTCATTCGACCTCAATCATCGACGCCTTTTTTTTCGTTGACACTAAACCATTTGAGGCACTAGGGCACCTTAATTTTAGGCTTAAATAAACGCTTTCTTGCTCCACCGCCAGCGCTCCGATTGAGTCAGGCCCGAGATGAACAATGACAGAAAGCCATCCGGAGCGGGCCGAATGTTAGGTCTCAGTCACATTGCGCCTCAATTCCATGAGTGGCTGAACGCCTGTTTCACACAGACCTAGCATGGCTCAGAACCCTGAATCCTTCCATTTCCCACTGATTGTTAATCCTTGGTTGTCAATCGCGCGTCATCCCATCATTTCTTCTCTCAGCCCCGGTCTAGACGCTTGAGACTTGGCCAAGAGCCCCGGCGTGCTCGTGTTCTTTCCAGAGCGTCTAAAATGAGGGCTGTGCACAACTAGTGCTTTGGATAGCGCTGCAGGACTCCGTGGATCACGTGGAGACCAAAGCGCGACTCATCCCTCACGATTCCCTGCCCCCGAGCATCCCGTCTCACCTCATCCATTTTCTCTTCAGGCTCATCGGTGGCCACCATTACAGTCATTATGGTCTCATTAGGCGGCGTCTTTCTTCTTTTCGTCTTTCTACCGACACATGCCTTAACACGCGACATTCCGAGCAATGTAAAAGACTTCTACGAGTTCGTGCGCGGGCGGAACAAGTGCCATCGTACGTTAGCAAGCGGGTTTCACAGCAGTGAGGGTGACAGCGGAGGTACGTGCTTCATCCCCTCAACGGCTAATTGCTTCGAAGATGCTCATAGAATCCATTCACAAGATTTCAGCTACTGCGGAGATTACCTGGATGATTACAAAATCGTATATCTCCAAGGGAAAAATGGTGAGCTGGTCAACATGGACGTGGACTGCGATGGCGAGCAAGCCGGAGGCGACGGACGATGCGGTAGCTCCACCGACACTCAATCTGAGACGACATTCCGCGACCAGCTGAGGAGTTACGGAACTGGGCGACGAGATTTGAACGCCTCGGTACACACTTATGTTGTTTTCGGGAATGAAGGTACTAAAAGCGGCTGGCCGACATTCAATCCAGAAAAGCATGGCATCAGACCACTCAGCGTAATGGCTGTCGTGTGTAATAACAAATTGGTAAGTCTACCTCTATTTCGCTTGACACTCTAGTCTAATCTATTTTGTGTAGCTGTATGGGATCTGGGGAGATACAAATGGTGACGATGGATCTCAAGCCATGGTAGGTGAGGCTTCCATATCACTCGCTACTGCATGCTATGGCAATAGTATCAACGGCAACTCAGGACATGATGACAATGATGTTCTATATATTGCCTTCACGGGCGATGATGCTGTTCCTGGCGCAAGCGGGGCGAATTGGACTGCGTCAAATTACGAGGACTTCCAAAGCAGCATTTCAGATCTTGGGAATAAGCTCATTGAACGTGTTGGGAGTGGGGGAAATAGCAGGCCACTTGGAAATCAATGGATACTTTTTCCCGTGGCTTTCTTCGGAATTATTTTACTCCTATTTTAGTATTACTAGAAAGACGCACCGAAAACCTAATCTCATTTGCCAGGCGTATCGAAGACATTTCAGTAAGATTCGGGGTGCGATGTGACATTCGGAAATTACATGTAGATAGTAGGCTCATCTACAGGACTTGCCTGATGTCCAACCTCTTTCTTGTGACCAAGGCATATGCACATGAAGAATGGCACATGAAGGGGTCTTCTGAGAGGGAAGTGAATGTCTGATTCAAACAAGTTATCTGCTGCAAACCTGAGCCCTACGTGGAAATCTGCCATCTCCGCAAATAAGTGCCGTCTCGTGAATGTTTTACTAGGTACTTCTCGGCGAAACTTTGCATAACATATCGACCTGTTTAACCAACCAGTAGTTCTCATGCCGGATTCTTTCCGGTTCCACAGGCGTGAAGTCAAAGGTCTTGACCAAGGTGGGCACAAGCTTGTTGATTTCGAGCAAGCTAATGTTTTTCCCAATGCAAGTACGAGAGCCTACTCCAAACTAGAGACGATCCATCAGTAAGTGTCTAGGGTAGGAATATTCAGTCAGTATGTGACTCACCGGTATCCAATTCGACTCCATGAGAGAAATGTGTTCTTTGTCCTGACTAGACCACCTATCAGGGCGGTATTCATCGGCATCAGCACCGAAAACATCCTTGTTTCGGTGCAAGACCCAGGTATTGACGCCTACAACACACTGCAGTCACTCTCGTCAGTCAAATCTACCCATATGGCCCATCAAGGCTGTAGTAATGGGACTTACACCCTCGTTGAAGTCTCTCCCGAGTAGATTCACACCACCTTTGGGGACAACACGGGCTAGCGGAAGGCCTGTTGCTGGATGCAGTCTGAGTGATTCTTTGATACAAGCCTGGAGAAAGCTCATAGCTTGAGCATCTTTGAAAGGGATGAACTCAGGGTTGTCTAGCTCTGCAAACTTGGCGTCGATATCTTCGCGAAGCTGTGATGATTATTAGAAAGATCATCCGAGCCAGGCGCAGCATACAGCTCCGCTTATGAGGAGTCAGTCACTTACCCTCTGAAGCACTTTGGGATGGGACGCAAGGTCATAGATAACAGCGCATAGTGATATCGAAGTTGTATCAGAGCCAGCTCCGATGTTGGTCATACATGTCGTGAAGACGGCGCTTTCTGGGAACTTTCCAGGATTTTCGTGGTGCAGACGGAAGAGCTTGGACATGAAGTCTTGCCTGTCTGGGCTCCCCTTCTCCATGTTAAACCGGTCTTTACCCCTATTCAGCTGCTCGGTTGTGAAGTTAATACCGTTCATGAGCTTTCCTGGTGGGAGTTTGGACACTATCCAGTCGAGAGTTCCATGTAGCTCGTGTTCTATCCCCACCATAGCGCAGTACTTGAGGTAAACGTGTTGACTAGCAAAAATCCCAAGTCGATCGCTTCCTGTATCAAGGCAGCCAAATCTTCGTCCAAGCTGTATGCAATAGGTGAGAATGTGCGACAGGACTGCAGATGAGACAAGTTTACGGAGAGACTTACCGTGATTTGACTGACGACATCGAATGCATAACATTGCATCCAAAATTGAAGGTCTATGGGGTTTGGAGTCTGACTCAAGTCTTCAAGTTGCTTCACAAAGACTCTCAAACAGTCTTCGACATCAGGCTCCATTGCTCTAAGGGAGGTGACAGAGTAAAGGTTTGCCACGAGACGTCGATTTGCGGCATGACGTGCACCATCCCGGTCTGTGAAGAGGTCTTGCCAAGGAAGGCCGACTGGACTTGAAGCTTCGTACCATGCGGACTAGGAAGTGAATAATGTCAGTATGGCAAAAATTACTCCATGGGCTAGATGATGCGTGCCTTGAGAAAGCCCTTTCCAATACCATAAATCGTCTTGATTACGGCCGGGTCGTTGATACTATATTGCTTAGGAGCAATCCGCACTATGGCACCTGTGTATTGAATCATCTTATAAGCAAGGGGTTCTCGTAGTTTCGCACGGGAATAAAGGCAACGTACCGTATTTCTCATGTAGTTGAATGTTGTGATGATGAAAGTTTCCGTCTCTCACATGTCGGAAGTACCAGAGTCTCGAGAAGCGAGCCTCGAATGGACCAGGCAACTTCCGAAGAGACGAAAAGGTCTCTGTGATAACATCTACTGAAGCCCAAATGAGGACGACAAGGGAGAGAAGAAGGACATAAATCCATGGTGTGAGAGTGAATGTCGAGTTATTTCGATCCATTGTGATTTGCGAATGCCTGACCCGCGTTCGGGGCAGCTAGATGTAGGAACAGAATCGATGAAAAACGATGTCGTGGAATAGCTGTCCAAAGTTGCTCTCAAGACTATGTGTGAGGTGGAAGCTCCTGTACTTGGCTGAAAATTGTTCGGGCAGGACTAAAAACAGTGTTGCTTAGGCTTTCAGGAGCGGGTTAAGTAAAACTTTGGCCCACGGAGTCAGTAAATTTGAAATGCTGCAACTAGACAAGATTGTTCACTGAAGCACTTGCCTAGAAGAACTCTCACAAGAAGACTACATGAGTTGTAGCAACAATTCTTGCTGGATCGAGGTTGACGATGATCTCTTTCGTAAACAACCGCAGGCATCTAAATTTATGTGTTTTTCGCACTCCACAAGCCATTTGCTAGTATAAACCCAGACCAATCATACCCTTGAAAGTGCTTTCACTCATTTTGTTAATGCTCGACCTCCAACTTCTGTGCCCGGAGTCCGTATGGCACCCGTTAGCTAAGCCATGCTGCCAGGCTTCGACCATGCTCCCCGAAACCTTACCCCGCAAGATCTGAGCATCGCAGCGCTAGGAGACTTTTTTGATCTGCCCGTTACCCCACATGAGATTACTGCCACGCATACGGGGCATGCCATGCGGCTTGGCTATCGCAGTAGGATACAAGTGTGGTCAGTATCAGTTGCTTTTGGGATACCTTAAGGATGCCTCTTTGCTCATAGCAGACAGTCTTTTGGTCTTTGTCGCCTACCATATTTGGCTGAACGTTTTTCGGGGCCGTGTTTCATCTCGATTGTTTTCGAAACCTGTTGTTAGTCCTCATCAATCATGGACGCTGACAACCGGAGAGTCATTCGTCACTCGAATGGGCAGACAACCGCATATATTCTCGACTCCTTTGTCGACCCTTGGAAACCAGCTGAGACTATACTACTTCAACATGGCTTCGGGCGAACGTCAGATCACTTCTATCATTGGGTTCCGGCTCTAGCTAGAAAGTATAATGTCTTGCGTCGTGACCTCCGAGGCCATGGCGGCTCAAGCTATCCCGGCCTCGATGACGATGATGTCTACCAATACACGACTGCCACGATCTTGGATGAGATCAAGGACACCCTAGATCAACTGAATATCGAGAAGGTTCACTTTGTTGGGGAGTCAACAAGCGGTATGCTCGCAGAGATATTTGCCGCAACATATCCAGAACGCGTCAGCTCCATTATTGTGTGTTCATCGCCAACCCATTTGCCGGCCTCAGCGCAGCAGTTCCTTGCTTTCGGTTTGGAATCTTGGCCTCAAGCATGCCGCCAACTTGGATCAAGGGGGTGGGCAGAACGACTCCTTGGTGCGAGCGGCACTGTGGCGAGTAGCAATCCCGACTACCTTGCATGGTGGAAGGACAAGGTTGCTGTCAGTGACGGAGAGGGGCTGGCAGGATATGCTGAATTCTTGAGTCAGTTGGACGCTCAGCCATACTTGGGAGAAATAAAAGCTCCCATGTTGATTCTATCGCCTACAAACAGTGCTCTAGTTAGCGTTGAGTCTATGAAGAAGCTAAGTGCGGAGGTTGGCTCAGCGAAGCTAGCAATCATCGAGTCTCAAGGGCACGAAATTTACGCCGAAGCTGCAGAGGATTGTATCTCGAAGATTAAGGATTTTCTACAAGAACTTTAGATTCAAGAATGCTAGCCTTCCGCTTTTCAAAGAGCTTGGCAAATACGCCAGTTTCTCAATTATTCACGAATGCTACAATACGATCTTTTTCTATGTCGTTGTCGTGTGTTTGGGTGACGATTATTCAAGACGCCACAGATATTCCTCGCCAATTGCGAAGTTTTGAATCCCGAGTCCAGGTTGTCAGTCGTAAATTCCGTATGAGAAAAGGTAGGCTTAATATGTGTGTCTACTACATGTACCTTAGCTCTGGGCCTGCAGCCGCCATTCTCTGCTAATTCCTATCCATAATCCAAATTATGTCTTCGAATTTGTGACGTAAAGGTAGACCGAAGAGCCATCACGATCCTCGAGAGAATATCAGTTGAGTCACTTCCAGGCAATACGCACTACTTTACTTACTATACAGCGGGGGTCCTTTGAGGCTTTTTCAAATACTCCATAGGCCGCTTCTGCCATCGTCGGCTGGATATTCTCCTGTTTTGCAGCATTGATGCCCAGAGATAGATCCTTGAGAAACATCTGAGTCTTGAATCCCAGCCTCCAATCATTGCTACTAGGGGCATGTGGGATGACGCCTGGGACTGGGCAGACATTATCTCCCATGAATGTTTGACCGGTAGAGTTGTGAATAATTGTCTGAAGCATCTTTGGGTCTACTCCGGACTTCACTCCGATTGCCATAGCTTCAGATATCAGAAGTAGAACAGAGCAGGAGATGTAGTTGTTGCTGATCTTAGCAGCAAGCCCCGAACCAACATCACCGCACCAGAAGAGCTTTTCAGGGTCGCCCATCATTGAAACTACCTGCCGTAGTCTTTGGGATACAAGGTCCCCCTTGTCATCAGGTTTGCGTCCGATCATGAATGAGAGAGTCGCCTTTTCCGCTGCTGGTACGCCTCCCTGGGACACATCAGAGTCAGACAGCGGCGTTGCCATTGATGGATCAAGGATACTTTATGTAGTCACACATGTTAAGAAGGAAGACTCACAGAAACAGGGGCATCGACATATATCCCTTGAGAAGCCTTTCTTATCTGATCTGCCACTTGCCGTGCGGTTGTAGTATCAATTGTACTGCACTCAATCAACAGTCTTTGTGGGTTTTTGGGAGCGGAAACGATGCCATCTTCAATGTCGAGATAGACCTTCGATACTTCTGGTGCCCCGGGTACCATGGAAACCACCACATCTACTGCGGCAGCAACTTCACGTGGATTTGCAGAGACTTCCACCTGTCCGAAGCTTGAAAATTGTTCAACAAACTTCTCACAGACTGATTTGTTGACGTCAAACACATGAACGGTAGATTGGCTCTTTAAATTTCGCCGAATCGATGCAGCCATGGGATAGCCGATGGCACCGAGGCCTACGGGAGTCAGCGGTCATTTAGCGACGGACAAGATTGAGTCTTACCTATGAAGCCAATATTGAAGTCCATCTTTCCGGTATTGCAGAGATTTGGTGTATCTACAGTCTAAAGGACTGATCGTATCACTCCAAAAAAAAAAAAAAAAAAAAAAAGATTGACGAGAACGATCGTGGTCATTAGGTTCCAGGCATGCAATCACAGATGTCGGCAATGGAATAGTCCTCAGAGGGGTCCCCCGCACCGCACCTCTGACAGGCAGTTAACAGTCGCCATAAGCCAAATCAGCCCAGCCTCCTTGTCCCCCACATCACCCCGCATCCGCCTAATGGACAGTGATCAGTCTCTGTACCTACACAACGGCAGCGATATGAAAACGTTTGTGCGAGAAGGGCCCATATTGATAGCGGCTACAGATGCTCAAGGTCAAAGCCGCCTTCTTTCTTGTCTGGCGCGCACATCCAGCAGCTACACACTTTCTGATCACCAACTGAACCACCATGACCAAGAACGGCGAAAAGCTGAAGGTTGGAGTTATCGGACCGGCTGGTTTCGGTGGCTCCTACTTGGTTGTCGAACTCATCAACCGCGGGCATCGTGTTGTAGGACTGTCTCGCAACCCGCAGAAACTGGGTACTCATGAGCTCTACGAGCCGCGGCCTATCAATCTTGAAACCTCCACTGAAGGAGAATTGGCTACGGCCATCAGTGATCTTGAGGTTGTGGTGTGCGAATACGGGCCTCATACAGCAGGTCACGAGGCCTTGCAGTACAGTGAGTTGCTTAAAATTGGCCCTTAACAATGAATTGTCTGATCAGGTAATATGATAGTGCCATTCATCGAGATGATCAGGAAAATTATCCTTGCCGTCAAACGCGCCAAAACAGGATACTTCGTGATGGTCGGTGGAACTGGCAGCTTGCATGTGCCTCATGAAGACGGCGTGTGCGTGGCGGACAGCAAGGACTTTTTCTTGGCCTACCGCCGTGGGATTGCGGACAGTCATGCTCATGTCACATACATGGAAGAGAGGCTTGGGCCGATAGGAAAGGCCTTGAGAGTATATCGTGACGCTCGTCTTCTTGTCAAAGAGGGCAGAGGAAGCACCGAGGAGAAAGAGGCAGCGCATGGAACGATAAATGCCTACGAAGCTCAACTGAAAGCGCAACAAGACGCATCGAGCAGCTTCATCAAAGCTGCGCGGGCTAGCCTCATGTTTTTCGAAGGCAATACATCCTTCGACTGGACGTATGTGTCTCCGAGCGCACTATATCGTCCCGGCAGGCGTACAGGCAGATACGAGATCACTATAAGCAATTTGCCGCTGAGGGATGGCCCTGATGGTGACAGTCCTCTGGATGGGAAGTTGTTGGGGATTTCGGCAGCGGACCTTGCCATAGCTATCTCTGACGAAGTCGAGTCACGAAAGCACAAGCAACAGCATTGGACAGCAACGGGGGACTTGACCGATGACAACCCCGCTCCATCGTATTTAACATTGAATTGAATGGAATCACATTTTCCTTGCATGAAACATACTCAACCAATACAATGAGTGATATGTGAATGCGGAGATCTCATGTGCCCACCTATGTTGCTCTTTTGCTGTATTCGGGGCTCAATCGCTATACCCCGAGTTGGAGACAGCCCGCACCGATGTGGAGTACGCCGAAGTTCAGGCATGTTAGTGTACCTACCGCGTCTGCGTGATAACTGAGGCAGCCCCAGCCACTGTAATTCCCCCAAGGACCTGGTCAATCTAGTAGACCCCTACAGCAAACGTAACACGCAAAAATGTCTGCCTACACTGTCAGCGATTCGGAATTCCAGAAGTTGGAGGGCAAAGTCATCTTGGTCACTGGAGGTGCGGCTGGCATTGGAAGAGCCATTGTCGATCTCGCTCATCGTAAGCTTCAGAAAATGAGCCATTGGCGCCGTACTGACTGTTGCGTGATAGGGCATGGGGCAAAAGTAGCATTATGCGATGTTGACGAGACTCGAGGAAAGCAAGTCCAGAAAGAGCTCGGAAAGTAAGTCGCATCATTTCCTACGGTCTTACTATGAAGTCCCTCATATAAGGCACGCTGTTGGCTCATGATCAAGCATCAATAGCGTTTTCTTCAAAAAATGTGACATCTCGGACTGGGACGACCTTGTCAGCTTCTTTGAAGATGTTCATTCAGAGCTTGGTCCCATTGATACCGTCATTTCGAATGCCGCAATCAACAAAGTCGAGACTCTGGACGAGCCGAACCCTGGAGCAGACTGGTATCCTCAAAAACCTGATGTTTCGGTTCTCAATGTCAACATGGCTGGCACGTGGTACGTGACCAAATGTGCCATCGGTTTCTTTCGCAAGAACCCGGAGACGAGATCTCAACTGGTTCTATTCGGGTCCGCCGCTAGCTTCTTCGATACGCCACCCTGCTACACCTACTGTGCCAGCAAGGCGGCTGTTCTGGGCCTTATGCGCGCCATGAGGACTCAATTGCCGAAAATGAATATCACTGTCAATATGATCGCACCTTGGATGACAGGTAAGTGTGCTCTTCCCCTCGAGGACTGATTGAGCAGTTTACGTCTGCACAGGAAGCTGAACCTTGCAGATACGGAGATGGTCACCGATCATATCAGAAGTATTTGGGAGGAGTTACCTGCAAACACGCCAAAGGACGTTGCCACAGCAAGCCTACTACCTGCTATGCGACCTGAAGTAAATGGAAAGTCTTTCTTCATTCACGGCGGGAATATCAGTGACCTGGAGGACAAGCTTGACGAGACTCAACCTCTATGGTTAGGAACCGACCTCGATAAGCAGATGAGAGAAGGGCAGCGTAGACTAATTCCATAGTTAGATTACGAAGTGAGAAAAACACCACAATGGTCAGTGATTTATAGTAGTCTCTAGATCTTGTATTTGCAAGATCGAATCTATTTGTTTTTTATTTGTTTTGATTGATAAGATCGAATCTATAACTACTCTGAAAGTAGAAAACTGCAAAAGACGTGCCCTTCGATGGTGCGATTTCTCAAAAGCTACATCTGTATTTCCAGCCAACGTACTAACAAAGGAATACGATGTAAAATTCCACTACTTTAGGCAAAGAAACGCGATTTTAAAATAGTCAGATATTGATATTCATAACGAGCTTGACATCTAGACTGTTCGCCAGACCCTCTGTATAAGTAGGATCATAGGTAAGCTGATCAATGACCTTGTTCGAAGTTCTTTTCCCTCAACGCGCTATACTCCCTCCGAATTATTTCTTCATGTGCGACAGAGCGGCATGAAATGGAGCATTCGAAAGGCTCAGGGACACTCAGAAAGCCTGGCATCATTCGAGTCGTTGGGAGTCTCTTCCCCCCGTTGGGGTCTGCTTTCCGCTCAATGTTAAATGCCCACAAGATGCGGGAAACAGCAATAAAGAGAGATTTCTCAGCTAGATGGACTCCAGGACACGCACGTCTGTCAGGATGTTAGCCGTCTATGGCATCTTCTCACGACGCTCGATTTCGGGTTGTGGAATACGTACCGGCCAGCACCATAGGAAAAGTGATCGCGGTCATATGGATCCTGCGAGTTCATGTACTCCGCTGCAGAGAGTGGACTATTGAGAAACCGAGATGGATCGTATTCATCGGCATTTTCGTAGCGGCTTGGATCGCGCTGGATAGCCCTGAAGATTTGGCACAATGTGTTAGCAAATGTTCTTGGGAGCATGTGACTTGCATGTGATTACTCACCACCAATTCAGGACGACTACAGAGTCCTTCGGGATGAAGTGTCCTTCGTACCAGTCGTCCTCGGTTGAAGCGTGATACATCCCAAATTTGTTGACTGGACGCCATCGTAAGGTTTCTTTAATCATCGCTCGAACGTAAGGGAGATCTTTCTCATCTTCCCATGTGGGCATTCGGTCGCTTCCGACGACACGGTCAATTTCTTCCTGGCCCTTCCGCATTGTTTCGGGGAAAAGAGTCATAGCCAGCGTCCAATTGTTTATAGTCGTAGCTGTTGTTTCGGAACCAGCCTCAACAAGGCCACCGCAGGTATATGCGGCGAGCAAGTCGTCGATGCCATTCTTTTTAGGATCACCAAGGTAAAAGTCCTTGCAGAAGCAGTCTTTGGCAGTGCCGTCGTCCGTTGTCTTCTTTAAAGCCTCCCAAAGCTCCAGCCAGATCTTGCTGTCGTGGGCAAATGCTTTCTTGCCCCAGGTGCGCCAGTTTCCCAAGAGAAACTCGGGAAGATTAGCGAGGCCGGGTAAACTCTCGACCGCGAAGGCACCAGGAGCCATCATGATGGAAAGATTCTCCAGAACACTGAAGATCTTGGAGATAATAGGGTCTTGGAAGGAAGGGATGCGATACCCATAGGTGGCTAGCATGATAACAGAGGTAGAGTAGCGTCGATTGATGGTGTAAAACTCATCGGGCTGATCTAGTAGATCGTGAAGCACCACTTTGGACTCCAGATCTTGCGATGGCATGTATCTCTTCGAAGCATTCAAGTTGAGAAGTGCGTGGCTGTGCTTTCTCAGGTTCCTCCAGTCTTGCCCATATGCCATGAACAGTTGTCGGGACTTCCCACTTGCAACATCCTGAGCCAGCGGGAGATGCGGTCGTGAGGAATATATGGCCGATTTCTTATCCATGAGATCTTTGACTGCTTTCGGCGATGAAAGCCAGATGTAGTCGGTTGCTCCGACTTTCGTGTAGAAGATATCACCATAGGTGCGATGCCAGTCGCGGACTTTTTGTCGCACAAGTTCCGAGTCTGCTAGGTCGTAGAGATTTCCAATGATCGGAAGCCCTCGAGGTCCAGGTGGTAATTTCTTCCTTCGTGGGTCCTGTCAAAGAGACTCCGGTTCAGCATGTATAAGCTACATGGAGAAATATGTACTCACTGTCAACTGATTTGGAACATAACGAAAATAACAACCAAGCAGAACCAGGACTATCGTCAGGCCAATACCTCCAATATGAATTGAGCCTTCCTTTGGAAGAATGTTCACACTTGGTGAATGAATCTTGATGAATTTCATCTTGCGGAAGGGAATCTGCGCTATAGACTTGGCTTGATGGATACTTAGCTTGATGTGGATAATCGACGAGCGATGAACAATTCCACACATTGACGGAATCTTTGAATAGCACTAGCCAGTCTCAAGAGAACTTAAGCTGGACTTTGAATCATACAAGATTGCCCGTCCGTATGGACCTACATAATGTGGGGGGCAGGGGTAGTGTCTGGGGAGCTACAACAAGTCCCTGGTAGATGCGGGGAGCTTCGAAACTCTACTACTTTGTGTTCGAATCCATGTCACTGGGGAACATCAACCTCATCCTAAATTAGTGAGATTTTGAGCAAGGGAAATGAAGAACAGTCGGAATGATGATGAGACGAACTTGAGTTGATTTCACGCGGTCATTACCTGCTCCTGCTACCACCATTCTGCCGGTCATGTCCAACGTATGCGGACAGTCACCAGTTCACCACGATCATGGGACAATTTCACAGAACAATGCATGCTCAAATCCATGGAATCGAGCGATCTTCGGCACGTCTATTGACTAAGTTGATTGCATATATCCAAACCTAGCTTACTATCCGACTCCGTAGGTGTACACCACACCGCAACCGACTTGACCATGTCGTTACTTCTTATTTTCTTCTTTCCAGGCAATGATGACCTTTTCAGCAACTTTGAACCCCTCTATACCAGCTGGCATTCCGCAGTAAATAGCCGCCTGCAGTAGTGTCTCCCGAATCTCTACGTCACTTGCCCCATTGTTCAGCGCTCCACGGACGTGGGCCGCAAGCTCGGGGGCTCTGTTCAGAGCGCATAACATGGCAATGTTTAAGAGAGATCGCTGCTTTCTCTCCAAGCCTGGTCGAGCCCAGACCGAGCCCCAGCAAGCCTCTGTGACGAGCTCTTGCATCGGCCTCGCAAAGTCTGACGAACCGCCGGCCAGAGCCGCGTCAACGTAAGACGTCCCTGCGACATCATATCGGATCTTCAGTCCTTTTTCGTATAGGATCTTGTGGGCTTCCGCCTCTTTGGCAGTATTTGCTGCAAGTTTGTCGGCCATCTTGGTGTTTCCAGTGCTGACGGGCCGTTGTGTGGATTGGATGAGAGTTGATACGCCGTAAGAATGGTCTGGGATCTGGAGATGTGCTGGTGAGATCTGGGTTCAGCTTGCTAGTACGTATCATACGACAGCTGCTGCCTGAGTCAAGTTTACATCAAAGTCCCATTTCAACCACCAAAACTGCCACAGGGAGGCTGCTTACATGACGGATGTGATTTTCCGGCCCCCTTCCATGTTTTTACCCCATATCAGAGTGAATTCTCTCTCCACATAACCCCACATCACCACGGAACGGAGATCCGTATGCACCCCGCATTAGGGTGGCGGGGTCCTGCTTCCGTGCGGTCACTTTGTAAACCGGAGTGGGGAATCGGCATCTTTGGTTTGAACCAGCCATGTCCTTGCCTGGCTCGGATCCAGACTGTAGCAAAGCAGCTCGCAGTGACAAAGGTGCAATGGTGTCACCGAGAGCCCGCTCGACATGATCAGTGAGAGATACTTGACGTGTGGAGCTATTGAACTTCTGTGAAATTGGGACATTGAATACTATGTTGAATCAATGAGGACATATGCCTTCTGGCACAGAGCAGTCCGGTAGTTGAGGGTATTTGCAGTAACAGGCAACCAGGAAACGGCTTATTATCAAGTTCGGAATGAGAAAACATGGATATTCTAGAAAATGACTAACTCCACTCAGATTCAATCAACCTGCCAGTCCTCGTTGCCTCCAATGTATCTGTAAAGTACGCGAGAGTCGAGGTCACGACATTTAGGATCTTGACTCGCCTCCTTGTAAGCTCTGAGCCCAACAGCACCAAGGATCAATTTGGCGCCAACTTTCTCTGCCGTGGAGACGGCCAAGCCAAAATCTTTTGCCATCAGCTGAATCTTGAAACCGCCTTGATATCCGTGACTTGCTGGGGCATTTGGACAGATGCCAGGCACAGGATTCCACTTGTCGCAGATCGTGCTTTGTGCAGTGCTGTTGGAGAACACGCGTGCGAGGAGTCGAGGATCCATACCAGCTCTCATCCCGATGTTCATGGCTTCGGAAGTTGCAAGTGAAATCAGCGCTGAGCAGTAGTTGTTGCAAAGCTTTGCCGTAAGGCCCAAGCCTGGGCCGCCACATGCAATAATGGTTTTTCCCATGAGGCTCAGTAAGTCGCGAATTTCTGGCCAGTTCGGGTCTTTCTCGGAGCAGCCAATCATAAGGGTCAATGTAGCGGCTTCAGCGCCGAGGGTACCACCAGATACAGGTGCATCACAGAAGACTGTTGATGGAAATTGGGATTTGATAGCGGTTGATACCAGCTGTGATGTCTCCGTATCGATAGTTGAGCAATCGATGAGCAGACGGGATTTTAGCTCAGGGCCCAATACCCCGGTGTCTGGATCCAGATATACGGTTCTCACATGACTGCCCTCTGGAAGCATGGTGAAGACTATGTCCTATATCCCAATGTTAGTCACGCAATGTCGAAGTGGTAGAATACATGTATGGTTGACCCGGTGTCAACTTACAGCTTTTTGTGAAACCTCTCTTGGGGATTTGCACCCTGTTATAACTGCATCCTTTGCCTGATGGGCGAATTTCTTCATGGAGCTCTCTGAGATATCGTAGACGTATGTTTGAGAACCCTTCGCTACTTTTGTGACGAGATTGGAGGCCATGGGCAAACCCATAGCCCCAAGGCCAATGAATCCTAGACTAAGTGGCTGATCCATGACAAGAAAAAAGGGCGTGCAATGGTGAGATGAAGAAGTTCTTGGGTGCGCATGAGTGTAGGTGTTTGTCTTCTTCGTGATGTCTCTGGAAGATATATGGATTCAGTTCAAGGTGTCAAGGCTTGCTCAAGTAATCAAGCGAGTCTGATGTAGGTAGGCCGTCGGGGCGGGGTAAGGAAGGTGACTGCCTACCTACTCGTGCTACTGTACTAAGGTTAGACCGTAAGATGGCAGAGCCGCCGAGCACATCTCACAGCACAAGCACTGAGTTGGGCACTTGAAACAAGCGTAAATTTGGGGACTTGGAGGCATTTGTGATTTTTCAAAAGTTTTGACTGATGCGATAAAACCTTTGAGAATTTCTGTGTGATTCGTGTCTGGTAGCTCAATTGATTTTTCCAGGGAAAAACGCTTCTTGGTGATCTTGTGCCCAAGCTGCGTCATGAGCAAAGATTACCCGCAATATGAGACTGCTTTTCTTTGAAGCTTCTTGCAACATCGAAATGCTGTTCAGCGTGTCTGTAGCCTCTTCTTTGTTCATATGGATACAACAAGCTCGACCCTCACCATCTTCCCACTCAGCTATATGCATCTCGCCTGTCAACAGGCGAGCGTCGTGACAAGCATCTCCGATGAGCATCACCCAGGATTGAGGTCCTACTCTTGCGAGAAGTCCAAGATGACCAGGCAAGTGGCCTGGCAAATCGACAGCATACAAGGAACCATCATCGCTTTCCCCAATATCCAGTATTCTCAATCTCCCCAAATTCTTCCAACGTTTCCCGAACCCCTCTGCTTCAACATGATCCCTGGGGCCCGTGATCTCTTCAACTCTGAGGCGGTCGAAAAGATCGGACTGGAAATTGGAATGAGACATATGCCCATTCATCCCCTGGCTGAGCAATTCGAGCGATCCTTGACCAACTCGAAAGCGAGCGTTGGGAAAGTCGGAAGGAGTCCCAATATGGTCCCAGTGAACATGACTGAGTATGACTTCGTCGATAGCTGCCACATCAAGACCTCCATCGATCAGGCTCTGTCGAACGTCCGGTAGTAAGGTCATCGGCTGACGATTCTTTGTGTGGCTTTGTATTGGAGTAGAATAGCGTTCAATATCCCGTCTCAAGCCCAGATCGAAAAGGATGCGTCGTTGACCCTCTTCGTTTAGATTTTGCGAGACGAGGAAAGAGAGTGACGGCACAAGCGTGGTCTCGTCCCGAGATACCCCCGCGACGAAGAACCGCTTGGGGAGGGTGAATTCGCCGCCCCTGAGAGCGGAGACTTGGACCTCTCCTCGTGCTTTCGACTCCAGATCTGTAAGGGCAGCTCTCATCTCCTCGAACGTGGACATGTTGACTTGAATTTCTTTTAATTCTTTTTGTATCTCGAGATGGGGCCGGTAGGTGAAGAGTGTGGGCAAGACGTGTGGGTGCCGACAATCCAGGCGGCGAAGGACCAGTACTTGCGGGGTAGCTATGTGACCCAGTCCTGCGTCTCCGTGTCAAAAATGAGAACATACTTGGGATTCAGGACTTCCGCGAATGATCTGTATCAAAGCTGCTGAGGATGCATCTGAATACACAAGTTATCTCTTCGACTCGCTCTTTTACAACCCGACTAGCCTGTCATATGCTGCCCACATGCATCCTTGACCCATTGAATCTCCACACAAGGATGGTCAACTCCGACGCCAAACTTCCTGATGCCAACGTACTTGAGGTACAATCAGCAGAGTGATATCAGCCTACGG